GGGAAAACGTCTCTCTCTCTTGCTCATCGATGCAAACTACTGCTTTCTAAAATCGAGGCTACTGTATATAATCTACTTATGACGGGGCGCAACGTATCGGGGCCCAATGCAAAATCCGTTTAATCGTAGCTCTAGCGTAATAATTCGGTTATTCTAGAACTCGCACACTCGCTTAATATTGTGCGTACATACAAACCAGCTAGAAACCGCAGTCGAAAGAGAGAGAGAGAGAGAGAACGGCTGACCAGTTCGCCATGTTTCCACTTTACGGCCGAGTTCGCGCAGAGCAAGGCTTCCAAGTTGCAGCTGCACTTGCAATTGCACTCTCACCTCTCCTTTCTCAGTGTTCTATTGTCTATTAAATATCCGCGATCCGATTTTAGTCCAGGCAGTATCGAGTACGATGAAGTTTCGCGCGTGTACTGTCTTTCACTTCAAATTCAGGAGCTTTGTCGGACTATGAAATTAATTCCACCATTTTCCACTGTTGCTATTTACGAAAAGTACTATAAATATATGTGTGTGTGTGTATAGTGTGATAAAATTATTTTTCTAAATAATACAATATAGATTCATTTTAAAAAATATTTAGGAATGAAATTTGTCTTCTTTTACAAAATTCGTCATTTGAAGACGAAAGTTCGTCCGCGACAAAAGTTTCGCAAAGTTCCGATGTTTTGAACTGCGCTTTCCGCGGAGCTTCGAAAAGTCAGAACAACCATTCACCAATGGTCTTTTATCGCGTGACGCGAATTCTGCCGGGGATTTCCTCGCGCGAGAGTTTTCCCGCGGCAATTATTTCTCGTTTAGCGGCAGGCCGTACATCAGATCGACTCGCCACGCTCGGCGAGTCACGTATCACGCGCGGCAATATCGCCGGGATCCTTATTCTTTCTTATTACTTAATATCCCCGGTAACGAGGACAAATGCGCGCACCGCCAGAGCTAATTGGCACCGGTATACTCCGCCGTCCATGTTTCTTCCTCCCTTTCCCGACATCAATCTGCACGCTGTCGGCGTAGCGACGAATGTGCTCGATCGAGGAGTCGACGGTTCCCTCCTCTCGGATCCTTTCTGCGGATTCTACGCCACGGGGGATGAAATATGGCAGAACCTTCCGCGCTAGTTGATGTTCGTTGAAATTGTCTGAATCACCTTGGAGCATCTTAATAGAAGCGCGAAAGTCAAGGTTTATTACGAAAGTCGCGAAAAGAACGGAAAAGAATTAATAAGCAAGAGATATACATATACTACAATCGTCGTTTACAACAAAATTGATTTAAATAACAACTACTATGTGACAAGAAAAGCACAAGTTGCATTCTTTATAAAAATTGTTTTACGCATATTCACAAAACTTTACAAATAACAAATTTGATAAATTTCACAGATGTAATTGTTAGAAGACTAGAATGTATTTTAATAAAATTGCAATAAAGACACAACACACACAAATAAGCTCATAAATGAAAATAAATGCGTCCTTCGTTCTCAGGTACACCCACGGTTTATTACTTTTCTTCTCTTTGCACAAAAACGCGCCATTTGTGCAGTTTGCTGGTCCGTTGCCTAGCAAGAGAAAGACAGAATTGAACTTTATTAGCCGTGTCGATGGCGCAGCGCGGCACGCGCGTTACGCGTATGTTGAACGAATTAAAATGTAATTCTGTCTCGCCACGAGGCGCTAATGGCTGCTGTGTGCGTGCGTGTGTGTGTATATGTGTATTGAGTCAAACATCCGGCCAAATCAATCCAATGGTTTACGATCTAATTTATTTTGGCGTAACAAAATTCGCGACGCAACGCGATAAAATCAAGGGTCCGTAACACTTTGGACCTGTGACTGATTGGCTGCAATACGCATTGCATATCAATTGAACGATGAAAATGGCATGAGACTGAGAAGTGTCTCTTTCTCTCTGTGGATATCTACAATATAATTTCATAAATTAAAGAAATTTGGAAATTGTGCTTTTAAACTCGAACATGTTGCGTAGGTAGAGAAATTTTTAATAAAAATTTTAAAATATGTAGATATTCAATCAAATTTGAAAAACATTGAACATTTTGCAAAACTTTTTCATTTCTCCGAATTTAGCATTCCAACATTTCCATTGGTCTGCCAATTGGAGAGTTAATTAGCGCCATTCGTCTTTCGAAATCCCCTCGCACGAAATCCGCGCGTCGCGTGTCAAACATTGAGCGCCGATGAGCGACAGAAATTTATCACGGGATATTTATCAGATCGGCGGAAGCGTTTCCCGGGAATACTCGAAAATTGTCGCGCGCGCGAAAGACAGAGTTACGCCCGAATATCATACTGACGAACTGATGTGAAAGGTCAAACCCCAAAGCGCATGAGGGAAGAGAGACAGGCGAGAGGAAAAGACGAGTAGGGAAAATGAAAAACGAGAAACGACGTGAACACCGGCACGGTTGAGTTATTAATTAATTCATTTGAATTTCGCGTCTCGTCTGGCTGCCTATGGCCGCTGAGATTAGAATTTGTTACCGCGGGGGTAACACAAAACACAAACGCGCGGCTTCGACAATGCCCCGTTGCGACGAGGAATGCAGTCCGGTTTTGCAGTCGGTTGCCGATGCATCGCGATGCATCGGTATAACACGAGACATTATTAATTAGCGCGACGACCGCGCTCTGTAACAGCCGCGGGCGATCGCGGATGTTCCGTGCGAAATTGTCAGCTGAACGTTCAATGTTGAAGTCTCCAGGTTAATGCGATACGTCTCGCGCACACAATGCCTCTTTCCTATTTTGCATCGCTAGCTTTCCACCTGCAATTTCATGTGAGAATTATATTTCTGACGTATTTTCTAATCTAAGTCTTACAGAACGTGGCGATTTAATTGTTGAACTCGTCACTTGTTCAACATCGACGTTCTAACAACAAATGTTTCGGTGAAAATGAATTTTTTGACGACACGAGATCTCTTTCTAGATGTGTGCGTGTGTGTTATATATATTGTAATACACATATAACATATATGTATCACTACAGCACGCCATTCGTAAAAGTACACGAACTGCCGTAATAACCTGTTGTTTTCTCTCTCAATCGTTGATCCCTCTCGGTTATCCGAAACCACGTTTCGCGCCGTGATGTATCGCAATGAAACGCACACAAAACTTTATACGATCGTAGACATGACGTAAGACCTTATTTCGTGAAAAATGCGGAAGGTGGAAAGCAGAACGAGATCGGCAACAACTGCATTCGGAAGTTCGAAAAAGATCTTCGGACGTTTACATGTAATGCAGTAAACTGTAAAACAGCTGTGTTATAAAATGTAAAAGAAAACGTGACTATGTAAAACGTGACATTGCTCAATTGTTATATTTTTATTTTTAAACCATTGTGTTAAGTACCGTTCAATATAAATTTAATAAAATATTTAATTTCGTTAACGGTATCTTTTTGTACAGCTTGTGCGTTTTACGTAAGAATTAACAAAGGGTAACAAAAATCGTGCCGTACGCGATATTTCGAGGTACAATGGGTTTCATATCACACTTTTACTTAATATCTCGCAGGGTGCGATTTTCGCAGGTGTTATTCTTCATTGTCACGTCTGAGAAACGGAGCTCGGTGTAGAAGAACTTATCGTCCCGTCTGTCGGAGCACGCAGCGGGTAAATCTTCGTAAAAACGCGCGGCGGAGGACGCGGCCGGAAAATTTCGCGCTCCGTTTGACGTACGTCATATAAATCAAAAGGCATTTTCGCCGGACGATAAATACGTCTGCGTGTTTTTTTTGTTTTGTTATTTTTCCAACATGTCGCGCGATTGTAACGCGCGTCGTCCGGTTACTTGTTGCACGCAACTGTTGTCGCTTCTCTTGCGTATTTGACAACAAATTTCGAATCGAAACTTTGAAAAAAAAATGCATCATGTTCATTTTAAAATAATTCTCTCTGGCAATGAGGTTTTGTATAAACCGGATTCTCCGTATTGTCGACAGTAAATCAGTAATGGCCCGCGTATTTCCGGACGTTGGCGAAATCTATCTGGAGAAATTCGTGATATTACCGTGAGAAACTTTACGTCATTTTGTTTTAATACGTCATATTTTTACGCTACGGCGAATGGTAAATATATGTGAGGTAAATTGTGACATTTCTTACCTACACAATTTATTAGATAACGTACGTAATTTCAGCGAGATGAGACCTTTCGCAAATTTCTTTCGATGTTGAAATTACAAACGGATTAGGTGACACATTTGCGCGCGCGATAATTCAGCGGGGCAAACTGAATCCGGGTTGTCCTCTTTCGCGAAACGAGGCCGTTTTTAAACCGAGCACGTACCGTCTGTTTATTCAAATTTCCAACACGCATATGAAACTTTCGTCTCCGTTCGCTCTCTGTTCCTCCTTTCTCTTCGCCGGTTTTGCGCGACCCGCCGGCGCGCAGTTCACCAACCAATATTTCACGTTCCACCCCTCCGTTGGGGGTGGATGGCTGGCTGCATGCAGTATCCCCGGAATTGCAAGAAGATTGTCAGGGGTCGCGTCGGTCGACACCAAGTCGACGTGGTAACCACACGTGTTCGCGAACGGAGCGAACGTGCCGTTTAAAATCTACGTTATGTCGCGGCGTTACAGCCAAACCTACCCCCGATCGCCTTACGGCGAGCGTTTGCTTCGCCAGCCGGTCGTAATGGAATAATCCGACCTGGTCGCGGACTATAATTTATCCCCGATACCGTTCCGATATCTCGCCGAACTTGGCACGATACGTGTGGAATGTTATCGGTTGTGATGTTATACTCCCACAATTGAAGGAGATGGTTATTTGCGAGACGCAAAGATGAGGAGAATTCGGAAAAAATGCTGCGAAAACTTCGCGATCGATTGTTTACGAGTCGGGAACGCCATTTTATCTTTATGTGATATTTTGTTATTATTGTAATAATATTTATAACATTATTATGACACAATATAATCGTAAAATACACAAAACAAAAGGAAAGAAACAGTTTTTTAATCAATTCAGTAATCGACGAATTCGTCAGTGCGAAAGGTCGAGTTGATGGGCGGTCGCCCGCGGAAAATCGGAATTGGGCGGGTAATGAAACCAGGAAGGAGACAACGCGAAGAGCGACCGACCCTTTCTCTGTTCCTTTTGTTTTGTCTTTTGACGTACGCTCTACCAGTGTACCTCTCTTCTCTCGCTCTCTCTTTTCCTGAAGAGGGAATCGAATCCATTCGAGCGTGAGGGATGCGACTGACAGCTGGAATTGTTATATCTCGGCAGGCTAGGGCTGGTCGCGCGCTCGTAGTTCATCGATCTTCGACCGGTCGACACTGCCGTTGTTACCGCCACCGTCGTCGTCGTCGTCAACGCGATGAATTGGTTCCTACCTTCGTTAAAATTAATCAAGCGAAGCGCTGGTGCGCAATTGCGTTTGCCTATTCGCAATAGTCCGCCGTATATTACGCGGGATATGCATGCCGTTCTCGTGTGGCAGCTACTACACGTTGTTGCTGGCCGGAAATTCGTTTTAACCCGCGACTCTGCCTTGTATAAAGCGCAAAGATGCGTATACTCTATATAAATTTAATAAATTCTCTTTTCGCAAGCGCATGTAAGATTATACTTTTGACGAAAAGGATGGGAAAGATGTTGGCACAACAGTAAGCCCCATGGTGACGCGAAAACGTTTATGATATACGTACAATCACGCCTCGCGGTGATTTATTCTGCGCATCGCTTCCTTTTAATCTCTACCTTCGACCACGCAACAACAGTTCATCTCGTATTCTTTAATAAATGAGTTTTTTATCGAGTTTTCGCTCGACCGAGCCGAACACAACCCCGCTAGCTCGTGGCATATCACGAACTTTACACAAAGCCACGCATCAGCGAAGCCGAGCGGAGACCTGTTTGAACTCTCGTATCGTCATCTGGCTTTTGAAAAAACGTAACATCCGAGAGAGAGAAAGAGAGAGATATGTATATAATATGAAACTCTGATCTTAGATTTAAGCGATGGATTTAAAGATTTATTTAAAGTTAACTTTCTCGATTTTAATTGAACTGTCATTTTATTAACGTTTATTGCCAGATAGAAGATTCTCATCAAAAATTGTTAATTAGTTTTAAAAGCTACTAATTAATTTCTTGCGTACGCGCTCCGATAATATAAATTCGAAAATTATTTTTCGAATGTTTGTATTTAAAATATACATTTTATTTACATACGTTAAAATAGGAAAGCTGCAATAACAGAAAGATTGTTCTTGTTCAATATCTTCTGTGTATCGATATATCCGAAACAAACATAATAAATATTACATTATCGTTTTTACTTCTTCTCTTTATATACACAAAACGTTCTCTGCGTAATACTAAAAGATTGAACAGATGTATCACTCTTCGAAAGCAATTTAAATACTCTTTGACCCTAGGTATACATACTTATTTTTTTTTCGGCTGCGTTCAGGGAGAGCACTATTTGCGCTATTGCATCATTCTATCTTTATCGCTTATTAGATGAAAAACAAAGACAAAATGATGAAATAGCGCGCTTTACGAACGCAGCCTTCGTATATGTAGATACCACACTAGGGTCTGAAAAAACATCATAATGCTAGAGAAAATTACCATATTGTAATTAAGTGTCTTTAAATCAATCGCAAATAGACTGAACAATACGTCTATGCATTCAGAATTAGTCTATATTCATATACGTACCAAAAAAAATCCATTCAGAGACATAAGTTTCTTTTAAATTCAAGAAAAAAACGTCATTTTACTGTAATTGCTGAAGTTTCACAGACATTAAGTGTGTATATCTAGGGTTAAACCTGCGGCATACGATGCTTTTTTTCACGTATCATTGTCGCGGTGTTTGTTAGTTATCTATCACAAAACAAGTATCGCACGTAGGTAAAGTTTTATATAATTTTACTTCTTAACTTTTCCACTGCGGTATTGATTTAATTATTGGGTTGTTTGGAAAGTTTCCAATAAGTAACATCACTGTAGATAACATGTTCGAGACCATGTACACGAGACATTGTTCGAGACATAAATACTAAAATTGAACAGCACGTATATATGTGCATGTTCTAGAAGCTACATTATATGAGTCGGTACGATAGAAATTAAATTAAAACTTGTATTAAAAAATAAAATTAAAAAAACAAACGCTACGTACTCTCCGAACAACCCATAGTTGTACCGAAAAAATCTTGTAAAAGTTACCAAATGCATTTGGTTCATCGAGTCAGAGCCTACGTATAGACTCTATGTACAGAATAAATGCGTTTTGTTCCGAACGCTCACACACTTTATAGCGTATGTCGGTCTAACTTTGTTTACATCTAATGAATAAAGATAAACTGATACTTAAGCACGTGTGTATGATCGTTCGAAACAAACGCATGTCGTATTTATACAAACCATTTCGTATTAAATAAACTTGTAACGACGTATGTATACAGCGTTCGTAGCGAGAATTGCTAATTATATATAGTTAGCATTTTAATTACACTTTATTTACACGTCGATTGAGGTTTTTCCGTCTGTTTTAACATACAGTCGAGTTCTTTTAGAACTTCCGTGACGTGTTTTATCAAAGCAAATCCAGACATTGTGTCCAGTCGTAACGTTCGCGTGTAACATTGCTTGTACAGACTTGCAAGTGTCTCGTGTCTGAAATATTATCAAAAGCGTTAAAAAATTATATTATACTTTAATTTATATATATATATATATACATGTACATATGTATATTTGATAAATAAAACTTTATGTAATAAAATTTAAAAACAACATACTCTTTTTTATTATGTACAGGACTTTTACTGAAGAACAGCTTGGTTAACGATCGTAAGATAAACTGAAGTCTCTGTTCAAGCAAAGAAACAAGTTGGTTCTCTTCATCCATCAACTTTTGTTCTTCCGCTTTTTCATGTTCGATACGATCCTCCTCTACTTTATCATCCGTTGTCTCTTTATTTTGTTTCGCTGTGCTATTTCGTTCGCACAATATCTCCAACATAGGTATGCATTGTAGAAGTAATTCCAAACCGTTTTGGTATGCTTTTAATTTGTTATTAAACGTTGTGCTATCTAAATTAAGTCAAATATAAATTTTGTGTCAAAGTAAAAATTTTGTAAATATACTTTTACGTCAAAATAAAAATTAAATAAAAAGTAAAGCAAACAAGAGAAAGAAAGACGTACTACTTGCTTGATACTCCGCAAGAGCGACTCTCTCCAGTTGCACCGTCAAGTACTCCGAACTTTGTTCTAACGATAGCAACGACTTTGCCGCTTTATCGTAATATAATTTACACAATTGTAAATTCGTTTTTTTCTTGCTACTTTCCGCATCTAACTCGAGTTCTCTGTATATACGATGATATAACGAGGCCAATCGATGTTGAATAGTTGCAGCACGGAATTGATAAATCGGCTGCCGTGATCCTGGCGTTTCCACGTCGCAATGCTTAAGCGCCTTCTGTAGAACATCAACCACTGTTCTCTCCATATCCTGTCCAGGCTGCAATGGTAAGGTCAATTCAACTTTATGTAATGCGTTTGAATAATAATTCTTTTGTGTAGTCACAGTCTCGTCTAGAGTAAACGAATTAATTTATCTGCTTATATTACACGATGAAGCTATCAAATCTCTGTGCACCTTATAATCGCTCGAAGGATAATCCTGCAGCAGTGTAGCCATATTAAAATATGTTGTCGACAAATCCCAGCTCACGTTGTCCCATATCGATGGATTTGTCTTTCTATTACCCAGAACTTGCAAAGCCTTCTGATAGCTTGCAATCGCATTGTCGTAATAATGACGCACTTTTGAGGTCTGCTTCTCGTCCATGTGCGCCCAGACTCGCATGAGTCGGCCCGTATTGGAATGCAAAAGCGCGAGATTGGCCTCGTCGTGAACTTTTTCGAAAGCTCTCACGCCAAATTCCAAGTGAGTTAATGAACGTGTCAGAAGCACAAGCACATCCGGTTTAATGGACGACTTATCTGTTTGGTCGTCGAGCTGAACGCATCGATCTGTCAAGTTGAAATTTCTCAGTCAATCAAACGATATGCATTTTCAATGTTCATCGATAGAAAAAAATTTTACATACTACTTGCTTGGTTCATGTAAAGAACACCTAGTTCGTTATGAATATTCCCCAATCGTCTCAATAAGTTGTTTCTGTCCTTATCCGTCGGCTCTAACAACAATAACGCTTTATCATAACATCTGTATGAAGAGAGTAGAGTGGATTCTAGACTGTCCAATCCTTTCGGCAATAATTCGTCACTATCTGTAACACAATACACGTCATGATAATTTTGTTATTATTTTGATCATATGAATTTGTGCGCACATGTATTTCGATACTTACCCATATCCAAATCCTTCACGCTATGTAATTCTTCGATAATTTTCTCTTCTATTTCGTTTTTTGTCTCGTAGTCTTTCTTATGCCTTTCTATGTTGCACCAGTCTTGCACGGTCATAAAGCAACAGTCTCCCGCGCGACCCAACAGATAACTAATCGATTTGTCGTTCCTCACTCCGCAGATTTCCAATATCTTCTGACAATATAATACTTCTAACATGTACTTCAGAGAAATGCCATAGTTTTTATTTACGTACTCCTTCTCGGCAAGCACGGCAAATATCAACGAGGCTTTCTCATATAACAGCGTTTTCAAATGAGCGCTCCAGCAAATGTTGTCGCTCTTCTTCGATGCTTGCCACGTCGGTATCGTCTCCGCTTTGGGTTTACACAACAGAGCATTCTCGCTCGATATTTCCTTTGCAACGCCGTTTCCCTCCTTCTTCTCATTCTTCCTTTTCTTTTGTTTATTTTTCTTTTTATGCACGGGAGTGTTGTTTTCCGAATTTTCTTTCGACGAATTCTCTTTATCTTGCTGATTCAACGGTGCGTAAGGCATGGGTATCGCTTGGAAGGGTTTTGCCACATTTGGATGCATTTCTTCGTATTTTCTTCTCTCCTTCTCATATTCTTCCGCTTTCTTTTGCTCCTCGTCGCTGTTATCCTCTATCGGAAAATATCGAAGGCACTTTAGTCCATGAGCAACGTGTCCCAATCCAGATATACATCTCTCTTCTATGGTGCCAGAAATCGGTGGCGCCTTGTACTTTGGTTGCTCACGTGACGTTTGTTCTTTCACTGTAAAGACAATTAATGTTCTAGGTCAAAACATTAATTAAATCGACTAGTTATTTTGCAAAATCTATAGGTCAGAGGCTCACTTACTGTTGGCTAGAGTCAAAGATTTAATTGCCGCACAAGCTTCTTCTTCTTCATCCTCCTTTTCAGTCTCATGATTTGTGCTACATTCGCTCTGAGTGTCTTCTTCGTCACTTTGATCTGATAAATTCGACGGACTGGCCGGATCTGTATCTGACGGTATATATAAATCCGAAAGCATGAAGTGCGCAGATGTGACAATTTGCGGATACTTCTCTTTCGCCAGCAATTGAACGCAATTTTTTAACAACATTCTAATTGTGCCTTGATGACGATGATAATCGGGCGAATACTTCATGTTGCGAGCTACTCTGTACAACAACATTGCAACAGGTACGGTGAAGGGATTCTGTCCTTTCTCTTCTGAAACGTCACTGCACAGTGATGTCAAATCATATAGCTTCACAACATCATCGTCTTTACCTAAAAATATTTTACATACGTGTAAGTGCACTACTTTGTAAAAAACAAAAATTAATTTTTATTCTCGATATATTTATTTAATAAATTTATACAATATTTACCCTTAAATAGCCAATAAGTATGACCAGCTTTCGTTGCATTATTTTTTAGAAAACTCAAGATGTTTTGAGCAACATCTCTAATCACTTTGGGGCTAAACTTTGAATCATCCAAGTTTGGAAGATCTTCTGTTTTTATCAGTTCATATTTCTGTACAATACCATCCAGATGATAGCACATTACCACTTCAGGAACATTACACATTAAGTTATCTAACCAATAGTCTATTCCAGTTAAAACATTAATAGGCTTGGACATGTCTCTCAGTCGTAAGCTTATACATGGATGTGTCTGCCCACCAAATATTGGCATATCTGTTCCAATTAGCATCTGTATATTCTCAAATGTCCATACAACATTTCTTGCAAAGTTATGATTGTAGTTTGGATCAGGTACTTTTTCTTCTTGTGTTGGCTCAGGCAGACAGGGCTCTAAAGTCTTCACGGGTAACTCAGGTTTCTCATTTTGCTTGTTGCTATCTGCAAGTACTATAGAATGATACAAAAACTTAGATACTAAGTTCTTCTGTTGTAAACTGTTTCTGCTGTATGCCTTGTGAAAAAGACTCTTTGTTTCGCCAAGATTTTGGAAGATATGTTCGTAAAAGAACTTCTTCAGCCATTCCCAGTCATTCTCAGCTTGTCTCAAAAGATACTTGTGTATATCAAAATCATCCAGTAATAATGTGTTTTCGATACGATGCACCATCATAGAGATGACGCCACGATTATAAGGCAGTTTAAGTAGCTTTTTTATATTTTCTGCATCTGACACCACATCTACTTCGCCAACGCAATCAGGAAACATGTGGGCCATGCGAAAGCTTGAGAATCCTGTACTTTGAGACCAGACATTTTGTAAGCCATAACTTTCCGCCGAGCTGCTGAGCCAATTGCTGGGGGGATGATTTAAATCTGTGTTGCATTGCAACTGAGCGTATGTTGCTGGTGTTTGAACTGCAGAATATTTTACCACCGCAGTGGATTTCACAGCCTTCTTCGGAGAATCCGGTGGTACTGCCACAGCCATTGACTCCATCTAAAATATATATTTCAACAGAGAGTCTAGCGCATTCTGGCACATTCTACACACGTTGCGATCAACGTGTATTATTATTTATTTTACCAAATAGTATAAAATCGTAGCTTTCTCGCCACTATTTATACACAAAATGTTTAAGAAAGTTTCAATGCGTTACAATTATAATTATAATTTACATTTTGACAAATAAAATACTGATGATTAAAATCGCTGCTCACTATCAAGACTGCGAAAACGGCCGTTTCTGACCGTGAAAACGATTGTAAAGGTTAGAAAACTGTTAAGGCCATAATACACAAAAAAAACTCATGCAGTAAACGAATGGAATTGACCAATTACAGGCGAGTATTGTGAAGAACGTCTGTCTTCGAACATAGCCATATTGAAACGGAAACTTAAACGTTGAAACGTTCTGTAAAGATGAAATTTCTATGGCAGTGGTAAAACTTGAGCGGTAAGCAAAGTGACCAATCAACGTGACGATTGACTGTTTCAAAGTAGCTTCTTCATGAATATCAATAGAATTACAGAATAAGCAAAGCAATTGACCATGCGCATGTGCTATGATGTACGAAGCGATCTTAGTATTAAACGCGCATGCTTACATTGCCTATACATCCGGTACGATCATTTTCTAACCCTTAAAATATTATAATTAAATAAGTATTTATGTTCAAAATCGTTTTTTACTGCTGAGCGACGTGTTTTACTTTTCAAATCTTCTCGCACGAGACGCAATTGAATGAATATATTTTTGTCAAAATTTAAAAGGAGCGAGTTAATATAAATGTGACATATATACGTACGTAAATATTTACCATGTATATTTTTTTGTTTGTAATGTACTGAGGTACAAAATGATGAACTTGATTATGCGAATGTACAATGCAGTAATTATTTCTTTGCAATATTAAAAGAAATGGGGAAGAGTGTGTGTAACACTTTAGCTTTAAGTCTCTTGCTTTCACCCACTCTCACAACTTCTGAGTAGCAAGTCAGTTTGCTAAACTGACGTTCACTTCCTGGATCAGCGGTAGATCCGCGCAGGAGCCATTTGAATCTATGTGCGTGTCTTTGCTTGACATCCATTCCAGGTATTCTGAGCTATCATGTCGTGCCTTTGCTATTTGCAAGTTTTAATGTTAGTTTCTTGTTCGATATTGGTTTTGTGCTCTCAAACATTCGGTGAGTAAGTCACTGTGTATATCAGGTAGTTTTATATATACATTTATATATGTAATTCGCTTTTTTTAATATATAAACTTATAAATATTTTCCTTAGAAATATAAGTTTATATTAGATTATAACTGTGCATTTAACGTAATTAAATTATTGATTTTTTTCATATATATTCAATGTACAAATTATCATCAGCACAATTTATAAATTACTTGTAATTTTTTATAAAATTTTTTTAACGCACAACTAAATTGTTATTAATCGTTATTTATCGTAAATTGTTATTTTTAATTGTTATTAATCGTTATTTATCGTAAATTGTTATTTTTCTTATTTAAAAAAAATATATTTCTATATAGATAATGATTATCACGAATGTGCGCGTCCTTGTTTCGACAAAACATCTTCGAAGAAAACGTGCGTCTATCATTTCTTCGTCAGAGAATCTTATAGTCTAAGGTAAGAGACGAAATGTAATTTATAATTGGTTTTATTTAGCAAGTTGAGATATAATGTTAATGATGTGATACATAAGAAAATAGATATTTATGTAAATAATAATAATCCTTATCATATAATTTCTCAGTTTTAAGCGCGTTAACAAGCGTTTTGTAATGCTAATAGAGAGAAAATGCTATATATATAGTATGCATTTCTACTTGGTCGCAAAGTAGAATAGAACGGTTATAACGGTAAATACACTGTGGATAGTCGTCAAGCGCATCTTTGCGCAACAGGTTTTGATAGAATTTAAAAATGCGCTATTACTCTTACACACGTCTCTCTAAAAAAAAAACATACATAACTATACACTACACATTCAAGCAAAAAGGCGGGGATAATAGCGTGGTATCTCATATGTAGTGTATTTCTCAGCACGAACGAAAGTAGAGAATGTCGTGCCTTTTTATCTATTTGCAATTAAACTGATTGTTCAATGTTACATACTTTCTACTTTTAATTTCTACATCAATTTTTCGATTATTTTGCGAAACATATTAAGTAATAACAAAAAAGAATTATTTGCTTTTGCGCAATAAAAACTATACAACCTCTGAACTTAATTCCAAACTCCTGAAGGTTTTGTTTCCTATTAAGTAGATTGCGTGCATTTGATACGTACAAAATGTCTTGTTATATATAGACGATATTGTTAAATTAAACAATGTTATTATTATTTTATACACTATCAAAATGTGATGAACATTATTATTAAACATTTCTAGTATATTACGATGAAATTTCTTATACAAATATTATTTGCTAATATTTAACAGCTTTTGCAACAAATTCAAGAACGAGACGTCCACGTGCGCAAATATCATCACCGGACGGAATCGTCTGATAATTAATGGGAAAAGCCCAGGACCAGCTATAGAAGTAAGTATACTGATATATACGTTAGAGCAACATAAAGACAAAAATAAATAGTTTATCAGTTAAGTTATTATTTTACCAAAACGTATAATTCTTGTTTTTCTTTTAAGTACTTACAAGTGTTTAAAAAACTTATTGCTTATTGTCATAAATTTAAATTTATTGCTTATTTTTTTTAAATATATTTTTACAATGAATATAGATTTGTCTTGGAGACACACTAGAGGTTCTTGTTTACAACAAATTAGGGAGTGACGAACTGGCCTTTCACTGGCACGGGATCCGACAAAAGGGTTCTAATCACATGGACGGCGTGCCCATGATAACACAGTGTCCTATCTTACCTTTCACTGGTTTTCGCTACACGATAAACCCCGATAGCACAGGAACGTATTTCTACCACGCTCATTCAGGTACATGGATTCTACAGTTATAATTTTGCGCGCAAGATATTGTTTTCATTTTACCTCTGCATAACAAACTTGCACGATATAATACATCCAATCTTTTCTCTTCTTCCGTAACGTTTTGTAATTTTTTATTTTTTTTATTTGGTGCACTAAGCAAGCCGTGGTGAGAATCGCGCGACGATATAAATGAACAAAATAGAAAAAATTTCACATATATTCCAAGTGAATTCCGGCTTTTACGTTCCGCCGACTGGCTTCATTTTGACTCCGGTCTACGCCGTAGAACGTCGTTCTGCACCTGGCGCTCGCATCAAGAAAAGCAAGATCAATAACGTTCGCGTACTCGAAACAGCAGGAGCGGTTCTTCTCTCTTTTCATCGCTTCTTTATCACAAAAGAAAGATCGCGTGCCGCTCTTTGCAAGCGTCGCGTTTTCTCGCACATATATTTGTCTTTATAACGCGCTAAACAGTTCGCAGCGGTATCGATATCGTAGGGTGTTGTTCGGAAAGAAATCTCGATCTATTCGCATGTTGTAAGAGTGTCCGGTCTCCGTGGAAATATTTCGCGAAAACGCCTTCTTGATTCGCGCGTTCGAGTCCATTTTTTCTCCGAAGGGTAATACTCGCCGAACGCGCGTAAAGCGTATAAAGGAGGGAGAGTAGGGTCCGATTCCACAGAGCTAATAACGAGAAAAATAAGATTGAGGAAGATCATTATAGTATCGCAACAGGGCGACGGAATATACGGGTCGTTAACAGTTCGAGGACCGCAGGACAATCCTACTCTGGAAAGGATACTCGTACTGTCATCAAGGCCGTCAACTCCGCTGACACGGCAATCATACCTGTATCCACCCACACCGAGCGAGCTCCTCGTAAACGGCCAGGTATACACACAATTATTACTAACACGGCTAAAATCTCTTCCTCGCGTACCCGGATCCAACTTAGTTTGGAACTGGCCGAGTTGCGATATATGCAATATTGCTCCTGCATTTTCAAGACCAGCTTGAAAACAAAGGGTATTTAAAAAGTACATTAATGTGTACAAATGCAAATTAGATTAAGATCTTAGGATGTACTTTTTTTTTTTTATAGGAACGGGAAGCGGTAGTACAAGTGAAACATGGGTTTCCTTATTTACTACGTCTCATCAATGCCATCGCTCACGACTGTCCCATTTTATTGTCCGTCCATGGACACTCTCTTCACGTACTGGCTGCTGATGGCAACCCTGTACAATCGATGAGGGGCACGCATGTCGTTTTGTTTCCAGGTATGTGTTTGATACTTCGGTTGTTTCTCAGTATTACGCAACTGTATTTTTACTCTCAATCAACAAAAAGTCACAGCTCTAATAAGCACGTATATATCGTACATGTGGTACGTGCTACGAAAACGCAAGTGACATATACCGCGCGTGCAATTTTTATAAATAAAAATATTCAGGTTTTATCTACTGCTAAAATGTTTAGAATATATAAAATGATGACAAGGGTGAAACGAGACAAAAGTAAAAAGTATATGAGAGATATATATGTACAAGTTGAGACGCATATGTACATGTTCGTTTGTTTTCATCAAATTTAATTAACTGTAACCCAACCACGTAATAACTTTATATAAGTAAGATTATATATATTATGACACACAAGAGTATTGCGGCGCACTTTCGTCTACCGACAAAAAAAATTTCTATGTATATGAGAAGAAGAAAGAGATACAGAGAAAAACGCATTAGTCTGAAACCGAGCGCACACTCACACACGCACACGTATATATAGAATACTGATTCCGATCAATCTTCCACACGCACTCCAACACGTGACTCTCCCGTTTTATGCATCCGTTGTGCCAAGTGACGACGATAATTGGATGAACAAAAGAAAGAAGAGAGAGAGCGTAAAGTAATCAAGAAATCATAAAAAAAGCCGAATGACGATAGTCAATGGAAGATGGCAAAGTGATCTTGGCAATGATACGCATCGGAAAATAAGCACCTTGAAATTCGAGATAGTGAGCCATATATGTGTATGTGTTTAGTGCTTAGTGTTTATATTCTGCGCGCATATAAAATTGCATGATAAAATAAAACATCAGCAATTTCAACGTGTTGTCCTTGATCCAACGTGTCTCCTGGCGCTCATAAAGAAAGATCTTGGAATGGAAAGAAAGACAACGCTCGACATTGGCATCGGTGGCATCGGCAGGATCGGCGGTGGCGATGGTAACAGCGAGGAGACGCTGCGAGTATATAAAGGGAGATCTCCTTTCTCTTTCTCTTTCTCTCTCATAACAGCATTAGCAAAGCTTGGATAAGCGACGTGGTATGGTGAGACACAGCGTGGCGAGGTGGCGGGCGAACATTCGCGCAGACTCGGCCGTCTTCGTGCTCTCGCCGGGGTTTCCGCAAAGAGAAATAAAGAAAGGAAGGTGGCCAAGCGCGCGCGAGCCCCGCGCAAAAATCATTAAAACGCGTGCTCGTTTCGCGGCTGCGGCTTTCGTCGTGTTGGTTCTTGCCTCGGCAATTTATTAGACAATCGGTTCATCGTTTTTTTGGAGATATACCTACCGATATCTATCCGTAGCCCCGCTTTCAGTGGGCGCGCGCGCGCGCGCGCACACGCACGCGTTCCGCGAGCAAAAAAAGACACCGTCGAGGACATCTAAACGCGCTCCATACTGGCGTACATGTACAGCCATGGGCTTTGGAACGATCTGAGTACTACCACGCGCGTCGGCATGGAGTGGACCCGCGACAAGACTCTGGAGCTGCTACGCGAATATCAACAACGGCGTGTTCTCTGGGACTGGAACGCCCGGGGCTATCGGGACCGTGCAAAACGTAAACGAGCCATTCAGGAGCTTGCCGAGATCCTCTGCTGCAACACTCTCGAGGTCGAAAAGAAGATCACAAATCTCAAGTGTCAATATTCGCGGGAGGTACACAAGATTCAGAACAGCCGCGACGCCGCCACCGGTCCGGATGATGTATACGTTTCTAAGTGGTTCGCTTTCAAAGCCATGCAGTTTCTACAATTCGGCACGCGTAGATACAGCAAACGGAAGAAGGTAGGCGGAAGAAAAACGCATCGCCCGTGTGCGCACACACGCTATTCTTCTCTTTTTTTCGAGTGATTTCTCGTGGAAGATCTTCTTAGCGGTACAATGACAAATTAAAAAACAAAAAAAAGAAACACTCGGGGTGTTGTTGATACGCTTATTCATCGGCTTTTGTGTGAAATTTTACTACACAAGTCGAGTGTATATGTGTATATACACACACCATGCCTCTTTAGACGATACATTTCTCAATACACGAAAGAGAGAGGAGAGAATTTCTTGTTCTTGTTGCTATAATTGACAACTGATGTTGGTTTTCCAGATTTCTTTATAATTTTACTGTTTAGATTTTTACCAAAGCATAGCTCTCTCTTTCTCTGTATATTTGTGTCTACGCGCACACGCGTAAAACGGGAATCATTTTGCGCAAAGAATCTCAATTAGCAAAATATAACATTGAGCGTGGACTGGCTGTGATTAATTCTTTTATATTTACGGTAATATTTTTGGAACGCCGATTTTTACATATATGTTTAAAATGATATTTAAATTATTCAAACGAGTTACAATCGCACGTACAAACGTCCAACAATTCTCGATTCCACACAGAAACGATTACCGTCCCCTAATGGAACGCACGATGCGTCGCCGATCGAGATAAAAATTTTGTTGACTCGGCGGCGACGCGCTACCGCGCGTCATCTTCCATTTCTCGAGAAAAGTCGAGTCGATTCTTGCCTTTGTCCGACTCGATCCAGCGATCCGCTGATTTTTGTTTCGTTTCGTTGTATACACGTGCAAGTAGTAACATGCGCAAAACTTCGATGCGCCGATCAATTGACGAACAGAGAGAAAACATAGTGTTATAAATATTTTTTGCAAGAAGTCTAATATAGAATTTTGCTACAAACATTTACGTAAACTAAGATATAAGTGAAATTACTATCGTAATAGCGCGACGCACAATTTCTCAAGTTTTATAGAGGAACGTATACACATGTGAAAGTTTCAACTGCAGTCTTCCTCGAAGATCGACGCGTGAGATTAGATTTAAGTCGTGCGAACGCGGCATAAATGAGAGCAACGTTCGTAATCCGATTGTGTTATAGTTCAAGTAATTGCAACTGACAATCGAGAGAACTGTAAATTCTTTGTATCGCGCGCCATCGCTCGAGTGCGGTAAAATCCCTGATCCAGCCTGATCCCTTTTTCGCAGAAAGTCGAGGAGGAATCAAAGCTGCAAGAAGAATACATTGTGAGCGACATTGATCCGGAAAGCATAACGTTCATCGACAATGAAGAGACAAACGGTTCCGGCACCGGTTCCTTCAACGCATCTCTGAGCGAAGACGCTGAGGAGTCATCGTCGTCCAGTCTAAAAGCGATAGAGTTGTATAGTGGCTCTGTACACAGTCAGGACACTTCCCCGGCCGATCTCGGCGAATCGGGACAAATCAAGCTTGAGTCCGGCGTTCCGGATGAAAAAGAGCGGAAAAAAACGAGGGAAGAGTTCGCTAAGTTTGGCGAGAGTATCGCTGTGCAGCTCGCCGAGATCCCAGACTCGTATTCAAGATCGGTCGCGAAACTCAGGATTAATCAGATCCTCTTTGAGGCGGAAATCGGGGTCTACGCCCAAACGCGTCGCTAATGAGCCAAACTGTGGTGGAAACTCATGGCGAGAGACATCGCGATAATTAATCGTCGCATTCATGGCACATCGTCGCTATCGACATCGATTTGTTCGCTCGAGGTGTGACGAGCAAGACTTGCTTTGATCTAAGTAGGCTTTGAGATGGTTGTAAAAAGACGGTGGTAAAATTGGGACAAGTAAAACGAATGAAATTTAACACATAAACCATATTTAAAACCAACCACATTTAATAAGAAAAGAACAATAATATACCAACATTTAATGATTGGTCGTGCGTAACAAGCGCTGCGGTGACATGAATAATAATACACATATTCATGTATCTTACAATTTACTTCGACGAGCTTGAACTTGTAAAGATAGATGTAGCGATAAGTGAAATCTTCGTGCATTCTAGACTTGAGAAGAAAAAAATAATCATATTTACGTGATGTAGAAGTTACTACGATTATTATTGCCCATGTAGAAGTTCATAAACGAGCCAATGCTATTCTTTGCCAATATTGGTTCTAGCATTGTGCCAAGAAAGATTCGTAACACCATTCCGAGTAGAATATCGTTACTGGCGCGACAAAGTAAAAGTATATAGACAAGATTTGTAATGTCCAAATGCGAGAATTGTCTTCTCTTCTGTGTAATATTTTCTCATTCGGACACTAAATAGCAACGAATACATGACCGCGTTCAGGAGAATTTAGTTCAGCGTTGTGTGTTTATTGTTTGTAATTGGCGTATTCCTCTAGATCTATTGTGCAAATGTGAAAGTGTTTATGCCAATTAAGTTCTGCTGAACGTGGCCAATAATTAGGTCAATGTTGGACCCTGATCCAACGTGTTATCGGTAATTTTTATGTGAGTAAGTCGATTCGTAAACGCGCACGAATTTGCCGATTACACCGCCGTTTGCATCGTCGCCATCTTTGTATAAGCCGAACGGGTGTTTTTGAAGACTGAATTGATGATCAGAAGACTGTATAATAGAAAATTTTTTCTAAGTGTTTAAGCGAAGAATGTGTCGACATTAAATCGACAAATTGGTTATTCTTTAACGTTATTATTCTAAATTGTTTTTGTTCACATATTTGTATATATGCTGTGCGCGTCTGTTAGGAAACATCTATCATTAAAATTAATGAGAGTTACTATATATATATATATTACAATATGTTTATTCTTGTTTTTATTTAAATATATTTGACTATTGGCGTGTTTGTTGATTAATTGTTATTCAATTTTGAAATTGACTTGACGCAGCGAAAAATGCAAATAGAGAACACAAGGAAAAACCGAATATCGTCCTCATGTTTTTCTAACTATTCGGAAGAAATGCGCGCTGGTGACAATGAGATATGAATGCGGATCAACATGCGATACGTTTTGTTTGTAACCATATGATATTGATCGCAACACATCGCATGATACATACATGCTCTAACTTCCTACAAATGCAATACTATAATTATCGACATTTCGATATAGATCGATGACTGTAGTTACTCTTTCTTAGTGGTAAAGGTTTTAAATGTCCGCGATAAATGAGTCGAAGATATGAAATAGCGGTGATTATGCAGGCTCAGATTAATCTACAATACAATTTTACTCCGATAAAATGCTTATATACACGTAAATACCGAAATGAATTCCATTAGAAAGAATTTAAACGTACATCTTGATAATATACTTGGTATCGATATTTTATCACACTTAAAACACCGAGTCTCAACAGACAATAGAATGTGCGTTTTCAACGATTTGTTTTCAAATATTCGCGTATTTTTGAAAAATAAATGTGCACACACCCAAACATTATATATTCATATTTAAATATTCGCCGTACTTCACTTTTTCTTCCTATTTGATAGTTTTATAGTTTTATAGTTTTATATATACCCAAACGTGTAAACGTTTATTCTATGTATTAAACGTTAACATTTTAGTTTCAAAATAACCATTTTATAGTATTAACAAATATTGTTGCTCCTATTGTATCCCTTTCAATATTTAGGTTTAGACACACGAGATTCGAAAATTTATCCAATCCATCACTATATTTCGATAGACTTAGATAGTTAGTAGGTATAGCTAGTTTTTTATTGTTATTGGTGATCAATAAAATGTTTTTGTTTTCTATTTTGAAGAAATTTTCTATTGGCGTTAAAAAAAAAAAAAAAACAATTGATCATGTTTAAAAATTCTGTTTTGAGTTAAGAATAAAAAGCAATTTTTTGTGGCGTTCTTTAGATGTTTTTATTCATATCCCTCATCACTGTAGTTTATATTTCTGAGAACGGCTACGCGTGTAAGCCGTAAGAGAAACTGAACAAAAAATTTGTCGTGAATAACTCATACAATTTTAATAGTTTGAATTAGATAATCAAACTACAAGCCAAGTATTTCTCTAGACGTTATATTTTCAGAAAATGTAAAAAAAGACTAGTATTTTTAAACTATCTAAGCTAGAAAAAATTATAACTAATCAATAATTGCAAAGAAATTGCTCGAACAAACGTAATATAAAAAAAGAGAGGAGAGAAAAAAATCTTAATATTATAATTTATTTTTAGGCGAAAGACTCGACAGCATTCTAATGACGGATAAGGCGGTCGGCAAGTATGCTCTCGACATACAAGGCCTTCGAGATTGTCGAGATTTACGTCACGAGGCGCACATTTTGTACGAAGATGCCGACGTGGATTCGCACACGATAAAAGCAACTGATAAGTTTCACGATCAAATGTTTAACGTCATTGAAAGTGGTCATGACTGTCACAGAGCATCGAAAAATGTTATTTGTTCGTTGGACTTGAAAAGCAAAGAATTTTCTCAATTGGAAGAAAAGGCAGACGAAACAATCTATGTGTCTGTCGACTCGAATGCTTTTTCGATTTTCACAGATGAGATGACGGACAAGTCTTACAACATCTATGTTTCGAAATACTATCCAGCGTATTTGAGTAAGAAAAGTTTTTTAATCTAAATAAAAGCACATATATCATATCACACATATCATAATATATTTCTTTCAAGATCTTACAAGCTATGTGTATGTTTGTAATTTACATTTAAAAAGTAAGTACAGAGCAATAAGTTTGATCATTATCACATATAAAAAAACATTTCAGGTTTAGACAAAGACGTAAAAAAAATACCACAGATTAATGGCATGTCTTTCAAATATCCTTCATCTCCGATATTAGCGCAACCAGAAGATGCGTTCAGAGAATTAATTTGCTCTCTTGACAAACGTTCTAGCCAATGTGCCGACACACCGTTGTTTTGCGAGTGTTTGCAAATTGTTCAAGTGCCGTTGCAAAAAATAATCGAAGTTGTATTAATAAACGAAGGTAATTGTCTGTATATGCGTAATAAATGTTATAAAGTATGTCATTACTTGGATTAAAAAATTATTTATCGTATAGAAACCGCATTTTTTAGGTTTTGGAGGCAATGTGTCTTATACGTTTCATTTGCATGGTTACAACGGTAGCGTCGTGGGCCTGAAGAGTTTTGACAGGCCTATTGCCAAAGAAGAAATTGTATCCTTAGATCGTGATCAGAAAATCCATCGGAATCTGAGAAATCCGGTGCGAAAAGATACTTTCGTGACACCAAACAAGGGCTATATTATTCTTCGGTTTTACACCGACAATATAGGTAAACATATATCACATCTATCTATATAATGGGGTATCAAAAATGGATTTACTGAATATATAAATTTTACGATTGCTTACTAGGTTATTGGTTGTGGGAAGCGAGAAGTACTGCTATATATCCACAACTCTTTGGACCTGGCATACAATTTCTAATGAGAGTCGGGCTCCATCGAAACTTGCCGCCTCTACCAATCGATTTTCCTACTTGCGGCAATAACAAGGGCATGGACTTGATATTCGAAACGAGCTAATATACATTCTATTATCTGATTTCTCTTTTATATTATATATAACTACCGTCAAGAGAGTGAGAAAAATGTATAGTACAAGAATATAAATAGTATTGTTATGAAGCAGTTGTTTATTACTAGATAATTATAATTTATGTTGCCAATATTATTGTTTTCTCAAACAAAAGAGTAAAGGTGTATAATAAAAAATATACTTTTTGATACTGAATTATCGATGTATAAGTAAAATACATGTGAAAGAAAAGATTACATAACCTTTTTACAATGACCTTGACCTTCGCATATCTCAAGATTCTGATCTTGAGTAAAGCTTGAAAGTTTAGGACATATGAGCTACGCCAATTGCATCAAGTGCGTTAAGTAACTTTGTAATATCTACTGATTGTTATTATGTGGTTGATAAATAATATAAAAATAACTATTTCATAGTTAACTTATCTTGCTCGTCTATACCTAGTTTGTGTTACGATGATCAACGATGATTGTTAGTGCCTGTCAGCATTGAAACTATTGAAAGTCTATGGTTCACGGTTTGGTGCTCTTTTGGCTCAGTAGACCTATAAAGCTAGTCCATACGCCATTCTATGTCTTTTTGATAACAGGTTTAAAACCGTGGATTGGGTTCCTGACGCCAAGCCACGGAGTTGTGCATTTGTTTAAATTAAAGATAATAATAAAGAAAGTGGTGTAAAACACCGACAATTGTCCAAAAATATTCACTGCGCACATCCAACCGATATGGCTGATGCAATCCAACTTGTCTATGGTTCACGTTGTATACACCGTAAATTTTCTCATTGTAAACATCCGAACGCAGTTCAAGAATTAAAATCGTTTTGAAGATTACGCTGAATATATTAAGTTCGATATACACTAGACAAACATACAAACGCGGACTTGACTAATCACGTTGAACAATTCGGCCAATGAAATAATAGTCTTGATTATTCACTTGTGATTGGTCACCATCAATTAATAGACTCATGATCATCAAAGAGAAGACAGTCGGTATTGACGTACTGACAAGTCGTTCGTGGACATGGCTACGTAGTTGCTAATGTACACCACCCATGGACATTGCGTCTTACAGAGCTGAAAAGCAATTACACATTCTCTTATGGGCCTGGCCGCTCTCAGGCTTCTCTCTGATATGAATTTTATATGCTATGGCAGTTCGAATTCAGCTTAAATTGTTAGTGAATGGCATATGGACTAACCTTTACGATCCAAGAGCCACAAGTGCACCAAACCAAACCAAGCTTAAATTGTTATATTGACTTTCCATAACCTCAAAACAGTATTGTGAATGTGACGATACTCGAAAATTTATATATTAACGTATATACGTTTATTTATTAATATATGTATATATACGATTGTACACATTACTAGAAAGTACGTCAAATACGTTGAAATTTTATATGTATACACGGTAAATGTCTGGGTATATACAGTTGTGTGTGTAAGCAGATATTTGTTTATACTTCAAGTTTTTTAAATGGGTAAACCGACAGATATCAGTACAGAGGAAGAAATAAATTTAGGTAATAATTCTATGTTTCTGGATACAATTTTTATATTTCTTATTTGTGAGACACTGTTTTAAAAAGAACTTTAAATTTTTGTAATGCTAAGATGGAATATTTATTATATATAGATACAAATGATGTCCTACCACAAAAAAAGCATAAGAAACATAAACATAAAAAGCACAAGAAGAAAAAGCTTATGCATGATGATAATGATGGTTTTGTTAATATCTCATCACCAGATAAAAAAAAAATAAAAATAAAAAAAGACAATGAAAGGAGGTAAAGACATTATGAGATTTTTTCACAAGTATTACATCATAATATGTTTTAATGCACATTATATATAAAAAGTTAAATATGTGATAATTTAAATTTTTCTAGCTTAGATAAACGTGAGAAATTATTAAAACCTTGTAATTTGAGTGCCCCTGTGATAAATACTGCCTCTTCTCCAAAAGCAACTGCAAAGAAAAAACTTCCAAAAAGTAACAAAGGGAAGGACAGTGGAACCAGTAGTGAAGAAGAAAGATGGCTAGATGCTATTGAATCCGGCAAGCTAGAAGAGGTATTTCTTTTTTATATAATATACAAATATAGATATAGTAGATATATTACTAAATATGTCTATATTTTTATTTAATTTATATTTACAACAAAAAAAGATTAAAAATATTTATAAAATACTAATAAAGACAGAGATATTTTTAGGTCGATGATGAATTGAAAAAGATTAAGCCAAAAGATCCCAAACTAATGACAGCTCGACAAAGAGCAATGTTCGAGAGAAAGACTGATACAGAACCTAATCCGAGTGTTGAACAATTGATGTCATTACCTACTGGTTATAAAGAAAAGGTCATGACTGCAGAAGCTATACAGAAGGCTGCTCTAAAATCTCTGAAGCGAAAACAGCTTGCTGATGAAAAAAGAGAAAAAGATAAAGTACTGCTTTTTATAAGTTTTCTTAAAAACTAAATTGACAAGATTATTTTTATTTAATTTAATTATTTATGATTGAAAACTTTACAAGGTAAATTAATTTTTTTTCAGAAAAAAACGATGGAAAGACTACTCAAGAAGCAAGAATCAAAAGCGTCCAAAGTCATCAGCAAGGGAAGAGTATCCAAGCGACAAGTGCCCCTAGTAACATATCGTTTAACAATCGAAGGAAGTTCTATATCATTACCACCTGGTGAAGATTTTCCACTTTGTCCCGCCAAAGAGTAAGTGCAATATTATATAATTATATATATATGTATATACTATATATATCACAAGTTTCTAATACAATTTACGATCACGACTTAAGTAATGCGCGACCTTTTTAAAACTTCATATTCCTTCTGTTTTAGAAAAAGTCCACCGAAACGAATCTTTTGTGGTGTGAATCAGTGTAAAAATCCAAAAAAATATTCATGTTCAAAAACTGGAATACCATTATGTAGTTTAGAATGTTATAAAACTAATCTTTTATTAAATAATGTGTAAAAATATATTGTAATAAATTAAAATGCACATATGTATATATTAATGTTTATGATTTTTTAAAATAAATTAGACTTACATATATAATATATGTACCCAGCAAACAAAATGGTGGCAACATGCCGGTATTATGCAAGCATGCTTTCAAAGCGTGATGTCTCTGTGATTGCCAGATACAAGTTCATCTAGCAAGCATCGCGATGACACGTTACGCTTACCACTCTATGCAAGCTTTGTGCAAGCAGAATATGCGTCAAATTGAAAAGTGTCGACCTCTGTCGTCATTTATCTCATTATTTTTAGCATGTCATGATATCAATTTGCTAGCATACCAACGCGTGGCATCACTGAACAACACTGTACCAATATATTGTTCACATGACATGCTTTCACGGCGTGCTGACACGTGATGTTTGCTGGGTATATATATATCAATAATATGACAATCATAGATAACGAATCACCAATTGTTATCAATTGATGATATTTGTAATCACTGATTTACCAATTAATGGTATTTGTGACGGGTAATATATAATCGGATAGTACTTATTTTTGTAGCAACAGTCGGAAATTTGCACGTTACGACACTTATCTCAGTTTATTTCCCCACTTCTTCACTTATTGTATTTCGCACCTCGAATTTTTCAAATATAAATTTAAAAAAACGGGAAGAATAAGAAAGAAAACAGAGATGTAGTACTTTATAATGTGATATAAAAGATTCGTTTACGTCAACGGCCATATCACGTTAAATCTAATACCGGTTCTCGTCTGATCACCGAAGTCAAGCAACGTCGAGCACGGTCAGTACGTGGATGGGTGACCGCCTGGGAACACCGTGTGCTGTTGGCACGTTCTTTTTTTTTTGTTTTCAAGTATTTTAATTTTGTTCAAAAATAAAACAACTTGATAAATTTTTATTCAATAAATTTATAAATTGACAGAACTGATCAATTACGACTGACACTTAATCGGAGATAAAATAAGACCGGTTTTCTACAAACAGAAAACTTTTGTCCATTTGCAATGCACGTCTTCAACGACTATTAATTGATCGAATAGTTCATATTGTCGGAACTGTCCAAACTAGTTGTTCAAACGTTTCTGATTTGAACTATTATTATATGAATAATTCAAGCGTATGTACAATTCGTTCTCGAATCTGACAAGCTTCAGTATCGATCGTTAGCTCCATTTAATTTTACATACATTGTGAAAATGTTTGGTTTTTCTCAACATTTTCTTAGGAGATACATATATATTACAAAGAAGAAGTCGATAAATAGAAATAGCAACTGTACAATGTATGATTGATATACAGTTTCGATCCTCTTCTTGGAATGACTGAGCCGTTTGTTTGCGATATTTTCCTCGGTCACTGTCACGTGAAATTAAATTTCGTCGATCTTCCACTTTGCCCATATGCTCCATTCGATTGGGAGCGTTTTTCAGCATGAATATTCCTGAAAAAGGGCTTTTGACGATTATTGAAACATTGAATATATCTCACACAAATATTCGCACATCTCCGGCAAAATTTGTGTGGATTTTATGCCTGACAAGAATTTTGTCGCACGGAAAGGTTTCCGCTAAAAAAAGAACATCTTGTGAGAGTTTAATAAATAAAATTTAATATTTTGTGACGTATGAAAAATGACTCGTTGATCCAATTAAAATTGCATCATTCAACGCTATTTACATAATTACAAGAAGTATAAATTGTAAACTTTTGCGTACATCGTTCTCTCGCACTCACACACACGTTCGACGCATTTAGGTGTTTCTCGCGTTCAATTTGTGTGTATTTAAAATAAATTTTGTTTGTCCCCATCTCCACGTACATATCGATTCTCGTGCTGTGCAACCGCGCGTATAAATCGCCGTCTTGCGCGTGCACATATTTCCGTGTGCGTGTGCGTGTGTGTGTGTATCTTTTTTTTCTCCAAAATCATTCAGCTCTATTGAATCGACGCTTTTCAATCTCAGCACAGCGCGAGCTGAAGATCGTCGTGCGTGTGTCCATCGTTTATATAACAGTGGCGAATTGGAATGCGTTTTGAGCGATCGCACGCGGGCAAAAGAGAGATTGCCTCCCGCGCAAGATCGCGCGATTTAATTCACCCCAATTGCCACTTGTATGCACTCGCTGCGTAACATCGCGCAAATGTCAATATTTGCCAATGCTCAAACTGCACTCGTTGCTTCGCAAGTGCGGACATAACACACCACTCGATATTCTTTTGTGCGTATCTCTGTAGTGTTTGTGCGTGCACGAACATACTATAGGAACGGTGATGGATTGTTCGGCGCCCCTGTGCAAAATCTAAATTGGCGCCCTTTTATGCATGCGCGCACGCATAAAATATAGTAATTTATATTGCAAAAAATGCTGTCAAATGATACTGATTTGCTGTAAATTGATTTATTAACAAGATTTTCTTTTATTTCACACATTAACACATATTTCAAAAAATATATATTTAAAAAAGAAATAGTTGGTTAATAATAATATACCATTTCCATAAGATGTATCTTTAAAAGTTAAAATAATATTTTTTGGATCTTAATAGATGACAAAATTACTTACTGTTTTATCTATATTTAATTTACAGCAAATATCGTTTTCAATTTTATTTTTCCTTGAAAATATCATTATGGATATATCATTGACAATATAATTATATAAATATTTCATTATTACATAAATTATTTCCGTGTTATTTTTACTTTATATAATACACATATTTAAACGATAACTAAAAATAGAACATTCTTTAGATATAAAAGCCGACTGCAAATTTTTGTAACCTTGTATTTGTAAAACATTAGATTTGATTTCTCAAATTGTCGACAAAAAATTAAAAAAAATCATACATTTGACCTAAATTGGCGCTTCTAACAAACAGGCGCCTTCATGCCTTATTTAATGCATTCCTTGCTTCCGCCTTGCTTCCGCCGTCCCTGAGAGCATACTCATTGCGCGACGCATATTGTGCGTATATTCTGCAGTACAATAGTGCATTTTTGATAGCGTTAATATTGATACTTGTGCGTGTGTTTTGATTGTGGCACTGAGAGTGAACAATACGACCTGAAAATAAATACCAAAATATTCATAAATATTTAATTTAAAGATTTACAAGAATCAAATTTTTACTTTTAATAAGACACTTTCTGAAAGATATTATGTTTTTTTTTAATCCGTGTTAACTGTCGACTATTTTAGAGATAGAATTAGATCTAATTCTACAGCAAAACTTAACATGTGTACATGTTTTTTTATAAATACATAACTTTTGACATAAAACATAAATACTCACTCATTTCACTTTCAGTCAAACAGAAATTTACGAGAATTAAACCAATCTCGATTATCTTAAATTTGTGTGCCCACTTCTGTCAAAAGTACAATGAGCGTATGTTTACGCGCTTCTCATGTTGCTTCTCATCTCGGTGAGATTGACTGATGTGCAAAAGTGAAGAACGCGCGTCGGCGGGATAGAACCGGACAATCGGGAGCTGGAGATTGTCTCCCCCGTGGCTGCGCCGCGCATGCGATTGCAGTCGCACAAGATGCCTGGATCCTCAGTGCGCTCGTCACCCGCGATGTGTCCGGGACAGTTCTTCCTCGCTCCTCTCGATCCGCGTCCCTCGAGACCTCGTCCGGCTACCCTTCTTTTTGTCTTTCTTGTTGCGGACGTCAACACGTCGTCCCGTCACGAACGAGCGTGATTTTGTATTTGTCGGCGTGCTTCGAATTTTCAGGAAGAGAAAATCTCGGAGCACACGGATAGCACCGACGAAAAACCACTTTCGTCGGTTTTTCCGGATGATGGAAAATCTTAGCAAATGACACGATTCAGGAAGCCGGGATGCCCGAATGAAAAGAGCGAAAATGTTGAAGTAAGCAATCGCGAAAATTTATCGCGGCGCCCGTCGGAAATAAAACTCAAAGATTCGCGCGAATGGTTTCGATGTAATAGATTTTTGAACCGGTACGCGAGGATGTTATCAAGATCATGCTGTGATGAACACTGGCTGCAAATAGTCTCGAAGCTCACAGCAGGATGAAATAGGAGAATACCACGAGAGATACGATGATAGTTCGATAGTTGTAAGTACGCGCAGAACATGCTCGCATGTCGCTCGGTTTCTATTCCCTTGCAAATTATTCCTAGGATATAGAATTCCGGTTTAGAATTACATAGGTGTGCGGTTGGTTATAGGCATACGGTTTAAAGTTTCGCAATTGCATTTGCATGAAAACAAGAGGGAACTTTTCATTTTAATTCTCATTATATCCGCATAAATATACATGATGCAAAAAGCGTGTTTTTGCGAAGTTTTATTAATTATCGAAATGCTTCACTTATTTCGCGAAATGTCGGTTTTTAGAGCGTGAGAGCGAAAGAGTAGCATTCCTACTAAAAATTACTCAAATGTTGTTTTTAGTTATTCATATTTGTACGTTTTTTGCGCAGTATTTTATTATGGAATATAGTATATTTTAAATATCACGTTCTCAGAAAAATTAAATGCCACATCAAAGCGTTTAAATTTTTTCTCACAATACTGTGAGAATCAAAGAGGATTTGAATTTATATCGTTTCTTCAGTTTGCGAGAGACAAAGTCCTGTACGTAAAAGGATTATTTTCCTACGCTTCCTGAGAACTTACCTCCTCGAAAACTCAAACGCAGTCTTATTGCGGCGACTGCAGGCTACTTGAAGACGAAGATAACTCTCGTCGTCAGATGAAACATTTCGAGGGTATTTGTCGTCGTGGAAATAACTACTGCTAAAAGTTAGACACAAGTTTCGTCATTTCTTGTTATAAAATTATAAAAAATGTGCCGTACGTTGTTTTCAACTTTTAACATTTTACTAATTATTTTTCCCGCAAGAGAAAAATGTAACGCACATATTATTTCTAAAATCTAACATGTACACGTATCGCGGTGTCCAGAATTTAAAAAAAAAAATTGAAAGTAATTATTAAATTATAAAATTTCTTGCGTTTATAACGCGACTACATGTTTTTGCGAAGTGCACAATTTCCTTCATTCGATAGACAGATTGAAAAAGCATGCGAGACATGCGGAAGAACAGGGGCATGCAGAGTAGGATTGCGAAAGCAAAACAGGCGGAAATAGGCATGGCAAGGATGAGAAAAGAAGAGAATAGTGCTAAAATAGCTCGCGGAATTCAATTAGATCTAACACAAAAGGAACTGTAATGTTAAAAAGGTACGCATATATTTTTAAGAACCAATTTATTTTTGATATAGATGAATTTTAAATATCTAAATAAATTTTATATCGCAGATCGTGTGCTGATCAACGTGGTGTAGAGAGACTTTATATTTTTGTAATAGAAAGGAAAAATACAAAAAATATACTGAATTTTCATCCGCGTTATTGAAAAACGAAAACAATTGTTTCCGCACGTTACCTATATCTATCGCGCATTGGCACAATTAATTTCAGAAAACTATCGTGCGCACGATTGATATTTGCTGAACAAACGAATATTTTCACCAACATTATTAACAAATGGAAATGATGTAGTAGGATCAACTTGGGACAAATGTGGGACGTAAAAAATATTGAGTTGTGGTAAAAAAAAAAAAAAAAAATAGGAAGAAATATGGAAATGTATAATTCCATAGAAATATTTTCGTTTATTATCGGTGACAACACGGTGTGAAAAGCGATAAATTCAGTTAGTATCCCGACGGGTTCTTTTATGTGATGTGTCGTATTAAAGAATTTTATTTTAATGTACGTCATAAAAATCCATTGGTTTGCTAAAGGCTAACGACGTGTACAAAATTGCGGAAGTCGTGATAAATGATAATTGAAATATAAAGCAGTGCGAGAAAACGAAAGGAAATTAATTACTGAGGCAGGTTATTGAATACTGCGAGTTAATAGAATCGAATGTGTCACCCAGCTCAATCAGTGTCTCTTTCGAACCGTTTTCGTTACTACATACGTTACATATCGCGGTGGGGAAAAATGATACGTTTACATTTCAGAGAAATATGAGACCTACATCATACGTGGATACAGCGAACTTGTTGATATTTTACGTATTTTTCTCTCTTAATTATCATAAAATAACCAGAATATTTCTAACTCGCAATCTGCTTGCGTGATACGAAGAACGTGAAATTTCACGTCAGTTTATAAAGCGATTCAAGCTTGTTTTTTTTATTTTATTTTATTTGAAATAAAATAAACATATAGAAGATGAAAACATGTACGTTTGATAAAATTTGTATACATTACATTGCGTTTATTTTCTTATTATTTACCTTCTAAATAGAGAAAATTATTTGACGTTAAATTTATCAGTTAATCCATCATTATTACGTACTCTGCAATTTTTCTGTCAGTAACGTCAGCCGCGACGGTGGTTTTATCGGAGACGAGTACAATCTGCCCACGTCTGAGACAACTGGGTTTTGCACGAACACTCGAATCTTTCTGTCTCTCTCTCTCTCTTTACCAGAAGAAAAGCAGTAACTTAGTTTGTCGAAGGTAGATTAGAAGCTGCCCTCGAGCCTTGCGGACTGTACACAGCAACGAGGCAACTCACCTTCTTCACTTTAGTCGATCGGCACTGGATCGTAAAACTTTCTTCCTTCTTAACTAGCTCGTGAAAAATCACTAGGACGTTTGTGGTAGTTTGTGAGCGGATCACGGTTATTATAGATCTGGATTGTGTATACGTATATACAATCCGGACTATGATTTTGCAGGTTCAGCAAGCTTCTATACACTGTCGGCAATTCCCGTTTCTCGTTACCGGGAATTGTCTGTCATTCTGTATGTTCGTGCTATCACTCTGTCAGAAAGGGAGAGCTCAATAAGGAAGTTATTTAATATATAAGGGATTATCTACGAAACACACACACAACGCAACACAAGCACACGTAAACAAACACACACACACACACACACACACACACGTATTGAGATACTATAATAAAATACAATAAACCTTACTCTAAAATTGTTTTTTTCTACAAAGAGTATATTCAAAATTTCTAATACAAAAGTTTAGTGCTATTTTTATGCTTGTAACTTCGTACTTTTGAAAAGAAAGCATATACTACTATATGGTTCTTTCCGCTTGAATGAATTTTTTCCGCATTTACGTATGATAACTGGTTCATGATAACAGCGAGTGATATGAAATGCTACCGTTCTTCGATCACACAGCAACACGAGTTACGAGAAAATTCTAGTTATTTTATAATAATGTAGAATAAAAGTGACATGTAAAGATAGAATTGAGATAATATTATAGATAGGCGTCAGAATTGCGGCGAGTCGTTTCTCACGTCACGTGAGAAAGTGTGTGTGTGTGTATCGCGTACAGACTAGAGAATAACATTTTTTGACAATAGTCGCTCGTGAAACTGCAGAATAAATTTATACATATATGCATAAATATATATTAACACAGTAAAGACAGTAAGTGCATTTCTTTCATGCTTCTAAATCCTCGTTATCTTAATAAATTTGAACAACACCAATCTACAATGACAAATTGAAAATATTTAAATACATATCTGTAGTTTAAAGACGATTATAAAAAAATAGTTTTAGTAATGTAATACATAAAATGTAAGTAACGTGGGTGTTAATAATTTTCTCAGGCAATACTTAATTTCTCTTTCTTAATGATGCTGCCATTGATACAAACAAGTTATGCGGAGAATCGAACAAACTTTCGTATTTCCTTAATCTTCCTGAAAGCCTTGTAGTGGCTTCGTGTTTTTTGTTTTAATCACTTTCCATATTGTAATTTAATCTTTTACTTGTCTCTTTTGCTCCCTTTCTCTCTCTCTCTCTCACTCTTTCTACCTTTATCTTCTGATTAAAATACTGAAAAGCGTAAAAAGTAGTTAGAACTTTCTTGAAAATGAAAATGCGCAACGTTTAATTTTGTTCGTTCTTTTGTTACAAAATGGAATATTGCATGACATTACTCTTGTTAATTAAATTTAAAGAGCTCTTTTCCTCGTTCTAAAAATATTCATAATTATTTTAAAATCTGCATTACACTTGGCATAGAAAAAAGTGTAATATAACATAACATAAAATATTGAATAAAATAATAAAAATTTATCGAAAGAAAACATACCTTCGGAGAAAACATTATAAAGAATAGATAGGATAAGCGAGATTTGTGTAAGAAGATTTCTGAAAATTCTCTCACGTTACGCTATGCCGCATTAGAATTAGGAAGAAATGCAAACTTGCAGAAATCGCGGGAGTCCAGAAACTCCCACTCTTCACCGGGTGAATAGCATCTCCTACGCTCTGCTCCAATAAGTTATGATTCTTAATAATCATTCTGGGGATCTTATAATTAGGAATTGAGAACGTCTATTATCTCGGTGAACATTTCAATCAAACGTTCATTCAAACGGGGAACTTTAGAAAACGGATATAGAAAACCGTTAAAGCCAGCGAGCACTTTACGTGATAAACGGATAATTGTCCCAAGATAAAGAAGCAAATCCTACTTACGTTATAATATGGTTAACGAAGGATTTGAAGAAGACCCCGAGAAAATTACGGAGAATCGCGTGGAAAATCTATTGCCAGGAGTGTCGCGGAAATGCGAAAAGGTCACGAGTGAATTCCCGATATCACGATTCAGAATTCCGGGAAGAGTTCTATATCGTTGTACAAATTGACAAAAAATATTTGTTGCTACGATAACAAACAAATAAATAATTTTTTTCAGAATATGCGCACTTTTCTACACAAAAACACATTGCACGAACTTTCGAATCTTCTTTATATTCGAAATTTCTTTATATTTTCTATGTTTCTTTCAATTTTTATTGTACTTTTTCTTGCGTTATAAATTGCTTTTTTTTTACCAAAATATAACAAAAAAAGTTTTTTAACAAAAAAAATGCTAACGCATTCGTTTTATCTCACGTTTTTAACACATTTTATCGTTGCGTTAAAAGTACATATACACTTATATGTGACAGAAACAAGCGTCACGAGAACGTCAATTTCGTTGATCAATAGTGAGCGATAAGTATCAATTACAGATGTATTGCGAGATCTTTTGCAAGCTGTTAGTAGTGAGAATATAAGATTAAAAGAGAAATAGAGAGAAAGAGAGAGAAAGACAGAAACCATTTGTAATCCCTCTTAGTAGCAACGGCTAAATATTTTTGCGCAAGAGTGCAATCTCATTATCGTTTCACTTCTTCGCTTCACTTTGGATTAAGAGGATGCTGGAGTGACAGCCGAACTTCACGAAATTCGATAAAATAGAAGTGTTACTGTTATCGACACTGAAGTGACATTAACCATTCGAATGTCGTCGTAGAAAAACAAGAACAAACGTATGTATGTAAAAAGAAGTTATTCCAGACAACATTTCGCGTCTTATTTCTACTACAAGCTTCCAAATTTAATTCCGATAGTCTCATTGTATTTTTTAATATTTATTTATCTGACTGCGATTCGGTCAGTCATTAATTTTTGAAACTTGACATTAAATTGACAGAGTAATTATAAGTTCAGAGAAATCATAACATTTTCGATAGATTTACTAATCGGCCAGATTTCTCTCATCATTTTATCTTTTATTCCGCAAGAAGACATTTTTTTTAGATCCGAACAATAAATACAAAAAAAACAAACATCTCAAAAAGTATAATCATGCGTTTATTGATATTGCGGACAATTCCAGCATCTTTTTAAGCCATTTCATTGATCGTAGAGTAGTCCTTGCCAGTCGATACTCAGTTTTTGTTTCACGATTACATCGAGATTTTCCTCGTTTTTCTTTCTTTCTTTTGCAGGCGCTCGCGGAATTGGCGACGGAATAAACGACGTGAGAGCGCAATAAATCGGAATTAATCATAGACAAATGCGTACCAATGAAAGATGCGTTACGTTGCTTTACTCTAACAGGATCATCGCGACTAAAGCGGTCGATCGTTAAGCGAAAGCCAATATTGAATGAAATAACGCAATCAAAACATCACTGCAGGAAGCGTTATTCTGCTTCTCAATATGTACAATATACGTGTTGGGAGATAAATCAATTTATCTATGAATATTCAGGTCGGAACTCGTGCTACAGAAAGGAGGAAAAAACCCATCACGCGAGAGCATATGAGACTGATCGCGATCGCAACGACGATCGGAAGATATCACGCGATCGATATAAACTTTAACTTCATCAGCTTTGAGATTTTTATTCCCACATCCCGAGCTTGACGCGTGGAAATCGTTAAGACTGATCAAGTTCGATTTCTCTTTCTTCATTAACTTGCCGAGATAATTAGAGCGACCCTGGAGCAACATTGTCGTTATAAGCTGGTTTAACTGAATCGACGATTATTAATATATACTAATTGTTATACACGCATACATATATATATATATATTGTTGTTGTGGAATAAAAATTGTTACGCTACTATACAGTCGCAGTAAATGTGTTATAATAATCAAAGTATTATTACATATATTCTCAAACCAAAAAGTGTACTAAGTATTATTACATTTATTCCGAAACCAAGACTAAGGAATAATTAAGTGGAGCAAAATCTTGTCTTCTATGAGGCAGCGCGTTGCATGAATATTCGTCTTTTTATTACGCTTTTGTAGAGAGTGCTGGAGTTGCATATAAATGATGAGAATTCCTTTCATGAAACTGGTAAAATGCACGAGCGGAGCTCGGAACTGTATCACCGGATAACAATCAGGTGCATGTCGAAAGCAGCTAGAGTAAAACATGATTCGCGTTACATCGGAGAATTGTGCGGACGAACTCACGTTCAACGTGTCCTTTATTACGTCGCGCTGTGCTTCTCGTCTTTTTCTATCTCTCTCTTTCTCTTTCTATCTTTCTTTCTCTCCCGTCGTTTTCGTCGGAGCAGTCGATATTTCTGAAAATCATCGTGTTCCGGATAAATTGAGAAAGAAGGCACGATTCTAGTCAAGATCTACAATAATTTCGACCTCGTCGAGGAAGGAAACCGCGAAAGCTCACTATCTAAAGGCTCGGCGAAGTCCAAAAGAGGAGAATCGCCAGTATTGGAAATTTCAAGTGAATCCACTCCAGTTCAAGCAGACTAATGGGTTAAAATTATTCCGCATCGGCAGACAAAGATTGTCACGTCGTCGTCGTCGTCGTTATAAAAGCGAAGTTTCAGTTGAAGATCGGAAAAGAGTCTCGTGAAATTTTGTAACAAGATAGCAAAAATAACAGAAAAAGAGTAATAATAATAAAAAAAACAAAAAAAAAGAAAGAGAAGAGTTATTGTGTGCTCGCAAGCGAGCATTTTAATGCATCTCTGAATTGAGAGACAGGAAAATTAAAGAAAAAGCCGGGAAAACGGCAATTAAGGAAGAGAAGCGAACCCAAACGGAGTCTAATTGCGAGTGAAAAGACGAAAAAGAATTTGAAAGAAAAATCAAGTTAATGTTAGAGTTTCTCATCCAGCAGTTTAGATGGAAATACGCGGTTGAACTGCCGAAAATTGGACGCTTAAGATAAAAAAAAAACGCTATCGTTATTTAACGCGATATTTTTTTTAATGCGACAGTTTTTCACCAAGTTTTCTTCAAGGAAACACGCTTGATTTTCTCCAGTGAATAAGTATAAAAAAGATATATATATGTATATATATATATGTGTGTGTATATAAGCAGCGTAATAAATACCGAAGATATCTCGGCAAAATGGAACTATGCAAAACTGGCGTGAACGAAACTTTTACGAGAATACGTACACCTACTTCAGAACTACTTACTTAGAAACTCGTTGCTTTTAAATCAGCGCTTTTACGGGTGTCCTGACAGTGATATCGGTGTTATTCAGGAACTCAGGCGAGACACATTTACCTAGCGTTTTGCATCACCCGAAGAAGAAGAAGATGCTAAAGAAAATTCGAAAGAGCTCCCGGAAAAAAGCATTAAAATGCGAGAGCTGAACGCCACCGCATGCGCTGCTTTGTACGACGGTGTCGAATGGTCAAGCCTGTGGAACGTTATCACCTTAATCGTCCTAGCGCTCGTCAATGTCTCAGTGGTGATAGGCAACGTCTTGGTAATACTTGCCGTCTACAGTAACAGCAAATTAAGAAACGTAACGAATATGTTCATCGTGAGTCTAGCCGTGGCCGATCTGATGGTTGGCGTTGCCGTTTTACCGTTCAGCGCGGCCTGGGAAGTTTTCAAGGTAAGCTTGTTCTTAATATATATATATATATGTATATATATCATTCAGTTAATGATGTGTAAACAATCAAGCTAAGAGAAACTGAAATCATTGAAAAGTTTACTATTTCAATATTACAATTTCACCAGATATTTCAGAATCGTTTAACTCGTTTTTCAAATCGTTAGCTGCAATTATCAACATGTATAATAATAGACTACCGAAAAATAGTGATAATATTAATTACTCAGAGCTGATTGTCGATAACAGAACGAGACAAAGTTAATTTCAAACAGATTGTTGCCGAAAACCTTACGTTATATCGTGCGTCGTATTGTACAAACGCATTGTGCGTGAAACACGGTACGTGTGCGCGTAGTACGCGAGATTCTATTGTACATGACTGTATTGTAAATCATCATCGACCTGAATGGGAATTGATCCAGTAATTGACACATGCCGGATTCTCATCTTATCCGTCCATTATCTTATGAATAATAAATAACAAGTCGACACGTCGCGTTTATTTATTATTTATTGGCGACGATGTGTTTTGTAGGATCTAACGCATTTATGTCGCATCATGTTCAAGGTTTCTCTTGAATTTCTAATATCTTTCACATTATAAAATAATCTTATATGAAGGAAACTGAACGAGATATCGAGTTGCAATTAATGCAAATAGAATAAAAATCACTTTTGTCTCAAATATCTAGGAATATTGTGAGAAATAAGATTACGCTGAATATAATATGTTTGTACTTTCGAGACTGAGCGAACGGCTGTGTAAATCTACCGTTGACGTTTTGTATTAAGTACATTTCTTTCTTTTTAAATACCATTTCTCTAAAAGGTTTGGATATACGGAGATCTTTGGTGCTCTGTGTGGCTGGCAGTCGACGTTTGGATGTGCACGGCGTCGATATTGAATTTATGCGCTATCAGCTTGGATAGGTACTTGGCTGTGACTAGGCCAGTCAGCTATCCTCAGGCAAGTATTACTCAGCACTTGTGATCAATCGATTAGTCGAGTGTCAATCGATCCGGTATATCTCTCAACTTATTTGCATACCTAGCGAATGATATCGTGTTAAAAATATTTCCATAACACGAGCGCGTTGGCGACAGAAAGATAAATACAGAGAATAAAGTTGAAGATGAAACTTGCAGAGATACCAATTAAGACTTTATAGGATCGCTCGTCGATTTTGAACTTTCGCGATTCGCCAACTGAAAGTTTTCATACACGATGTTTTCAAACTCCTGGCACACACGCTGATTGTATCTTTATTAAAAGAGTTATAGGTAGGTAACGCAAAATGAGAAAAGTAGTTTTATGTTTCTGAGAGTTCCGTTATACAAGTTTCTCTGTCAATGTGAATTTCATATATTGGTAAATCAATCAATCGAGAAAAGAAAAAGTGCATGATGATGAATATTGGAAAATCTTTTGAAAATGCTATTGAAAAAAGATATATACTTCCGATCCGAATATAATTCGTGGTATAGGTGCACAATCTCTTCATTTGCATCAGTGTCACTACATGATTTCCGCAATAATTATTTTTTGTCCCTAAATTTAGCTTATGTCAACAAAACGGGCCAGATTGCTGATAGCTATTGTCTGGGTTTTGAGCTTCGTCATCTGTTTTCCACCCTTAGTGGGATGGAAGGACGAACGGGTACGTCCCACACGCTATAATCCGCTTTCATACTTAAGCGTGTCATATTATTTTGATGTAATTAATTGCTTTCGTTCATTTCGATGAACCACCATTCCGATTTAGATTCTATCATTTTCGCACGCTCAAATCGTGAATCATTTTTCCTGTTTCCGCAGTCGTATTCCGCGTATAACGTGTCGTTTCCCTTATATGGACCGTCCAACACCACCACTATACTCGTGCCGGTGAAACCGTGTCCATGGATTTGCGAGTTGACTAACGACACCGGTTACGTTGTATACAGGTAAAAAGCTTTTATCAATAAAAGAGAGATTACAGAAATTTACTTCTTTCACATTATACACGTGCGTGGAGACAGAATTTGCAATTGTGCAATTTATTTTTTACACACTGTGCCGTTTAATTGTTTGGTACTATATACTTATCGCGTCACTCAATAAAGAAATTATATGTATATATATAATTGTTATAAAAAAGTAAATAATAGTTGTCTTACTCAGAGATCCATATTTATTGCTGAGACAACTCCGGTAATTAGGTCTAGTATAAATTAGTGTTTTTTTTTATATTAGATCGGACCGCACCGGTAATGATTGTTTCTACTTCTACGTCGTTGTCGTGCATATTACTCGCGTGTATCAATCAAGACAGTCACGTATGCACAGTTCGTTGCCGGTCAATAAGTTAATAAATTGTTAATGCACTCTGAGAGTGAGTCTAAATGCGTTTCAAGTGCTCAACACCGACTCGCGCTCAATCAAATTACCTCGTCCGTTATTAAAGCCATGTGGCCGAATTAATATATTCGTAGTATTCTGGTCCGCATTGAACTGCATGAGCGTTACCGCCTGTACAAAGATGCCTTCGATACGATCGACTGTGGTGCGAATTCTGTGGCGTCCGATTTTGCGATGACTAAAATTTGTAGAGATATAATCGTATATAGATGTCGGTACACGTCAGAGATACGGAAAATTGTGTACATTTACATTGTTATATCGATATAAACAAAACGGCACAATTTTTGTTTTGCAGCGCTCTAGGTTCCTTTTACATACCGATGCTAGTCATGTTGTTTTTTTATTGGCGGATTTACAATGCTGCGGTTTCCACGACAAAGGCCATTAATCAAGGTTTCCGGACAACAAAGTCCTCGAAAATGCTCGGCAACAGGTAATTTCCACGAATGCAACCACGCTACAATTATTCCAATTCCTTTTTTGACCTTTCTCTTTCTCTCTCTCCCTCATACATACATACACACACACACATTGTATTAATCAATAAGAATTGATTATATTTGTCTGTTTTTTTTGTGTTTTCCCATTTGTTTCTACACTCTTGTAACTGATTTTTTGCTATTTATTTTTGTTGTTTATTTTTTATTATTTATTTCGTGGGTGTTTGATACGTGCTTGATGCAATTTTCTGCTGCAAATAAAGGTTTTTGTATTTTTAAATATATTGATATATATATGTATATATATGTAAATAGAGAGTAATGCACGAATTTAATAGAAAAGAATCCTTACGGTTACCAGATGTAAGATCACATAAACTTTCGGAAAAGCCAGTAAACGCCTACGCGTTCGTGCGCAAACTTTTCAGTAACTTTTCAGTAACGCGATATCGTGTCTTCCATCAACAATTCCCCCTCACAGATTGTGTCAGCATATCTACATCGTATTATCTACGCGAACTTACCACCTGCTACGTTCTCGACAGTTTCGTGCTAAGCAAAGAGAATATCAAGTAGAACGCTCGTAGATCACTTTGATTTAATTTCTTTTCTAAAAAGCGTCATTATCTACACGAATGTTATTGTTGTTAAAAAAACAATGTGACAATATAAACACACCGCAATCTTGTACACACAATGGAACAATAGTCTGTGCACAAGAAAAGTCTGTTTTTTTGTGCAAGCTTTGTTATGTCGACCGTAATTCTCATTCTTCTATACAGACGCGACTGCTTAATTCTTTATGCAGGTTCGACGAACATAGACTGACCTTACGGATACACCGTGGTCGCAATAGCATTCACAACGGTAACGGCAACTCAAGAAGTCCGGACTCAAGCGGTCGTAACTCCGTCAAGCGAGAAAAAATCAAAATCTCGGTGTCATATCCGAGCACCGAGACGCTCGACACTAAATGCAACACCCTCGAGAGAACGCCGTCGAGATGTTCGCAAATCTCAGTTCATTACAGCAACGGACAGTCGCAGACGCAACTTTGTTCACCCTCGCGAAACGCATACCTTAAGGTAGAACTTCCTATTACAGTAGAAACTTTGACAATTATCTCCGTTTAAACATATACACACACATACATACTCACACAATTATAATTATTTTGATAATTAACAAATTTAATTAATACGAACTATTTCTTTTTCGTTCTTTGAGCATTAGTAGAAACTGATTTGTTAATATAAATCTCTTTCTAGGTTGATAATATTAATAGGATTGGAAGTAGCAAGAGACCAAGTAGACGGAGCAGTTGCGACAGTCACGTAACTACTGATGAACTGTCGTTACGCGAAATAACACCGAGCAACGAGGAAAAACCTCGCAAGATAAAATTAGGCAAGAGAAACATAAAGGCTCAAGTACGTCTCGTATTGATTTCGTTTCTACACACCGTTTAACGTTTTAGTAACTTTTTTCCAGTATTGTGGAATTATTCAAGAGTAATATTTTGCAATTTTATTGTACAGTTAAAATGTAATTTCTTTTAAACGAATTTATGGTTATTGCGAATTATTATTTTAATATAATTCAAGCTTATATAAATAACGTATATGTTCTTTGTCGTGATGACGACAATACGTGACAGAAAGTTTCGTGCGCGCAGGTGAAGAGATTTCGCATGGAAACTAAAGCGGCGAAGACTCTGGGCATCATCGTAGGTGGTTTCATTATGTGCTGGCTGCCGTTTTTCACCATGTACCTGGTGCGCGCGTTCTATCCAAATCGCATTCATCCGGGTGTTTTTAGCGTGCTGTTCTGGCTGGGATACTGTAATTCCGCGATAAACCCCTGCATCTACGCGCTCTTCAGCAAGGATTTTCGTTTCGCTTTCAAAAGAATCATCTGCTGCAACAACTCCTGCATACAACGCGCCAATAACGCGCGCCGTGACAGCGATGGCAGTCAGTTGACAATGAGGTCAGTGTGTGTTACGTAATCATTATTTTTAGACTCACTATCATAGAATAATCCATGCAAAAAACTCTATGGAAATCATTTCGCACGTGTGTGTGTTCCACAGAAACGAACGAAGTCCGAGTTATTCGATCCGTTCGACGCCACAGCAGAGAATATCCATTGACGATTCCGATCCCGATCCAACGTCGGAGCCGACCCATTCCCAGAGCGAGTCCAGATAATTTCCACATGTCATCGCTTTTAATCTGACGCGCAAAAAATCGTTGTTTCCAATTTTCAATTCTCCAGGATGAAGATCTCGTCCTTGTAATAAAAACGGTTACTTTCGAGGTGTATACTATATATATATAGTCTGTGTGTACACATTGGACAGCACATTTAATAAATTTGTTTTGCCGGCCGGACTAATTATGTTGCATCAGCGTTTTGCATTGTACATTAAACTCTCTCGATGGGGGGCCTAATGCGGCCTTTTTTTAACTGAAGTATTCTAAGAAACAATATGATTTCTCGCATGCGGTTGTATAATAAATATTGTATATATAATATATTGTTGTTCACATGTGTATGTGTGTAATACATGTGTACGTCGTACAAATAAACTATGCTAATAAACGCGCGGTTATTGTTGGACAACGCTTAGTTCTAACGTTCGCGTGCAAATTATATATTCAGTGTCTCGCTATATCTCAGGACTTTCCACCTTCTATATTTTACAAAGTAACTGAAGTTTTAGTGGGAGTTGTGCGAAGCGATCGACCGAATTTGATGTGTGGTTTATATATATATATATACGTATGTGTAAATATTTATAAAAAAAAACAAATTATAATATATAACTGTACAAAAATTAAGTGAAAAGACGATTAAAAATAAATATGTGAATATCTAAAAATGATGTTTTTAACCTTCTGTGTGTATATAATATTTGCATCGCAAAAAATGCACTCATATTTTTATCATGTTTTACTAGTCAAAGCAAACAAAAAAAAGTGGGATCGGACTTACTTTTAACATGTATGGCCGAATTTCCGAATTGATTCAGTAGAATGATTAGATCAAGTTGAAGAATGTTCTCGCACATACAACACAGCACAACATTTGCAACAACGGGATGCACCAAAACTTGAGTATTTGAATCTGAATATCAAAGCGCGCAGAGAGACTAGAGGAGCTTTTCAGCTACGTACACAGGCGACACTGTGCAACACAGTGTCCACTAGTGTGAGTGAGACACACTGATATGCTCTTTCTTACACTAATGGACATTGTGTTACACAGTGTCGCCTGTGTACGTAGCTGGAAAGCTCCCTAGGATATTTTGTACAGCGTAGTGACTTTGGCTGCGTTCTATTTCACGCATATGCGGTCTAGTTTCCACCGAAGCATTAATTCATACCTAATGCGGCGTAGAATCAAATTTAAGTTGATGGAAACCTGTCAAATTGCGCTCATTTCACTTCCGCTTCGATCTATAAGTACTCTATTTCCAATGGAAATGGAACACTAAATTTGATCTGTACCGGAGTGAAACCGAATTGAGGGTTTTGGTGGAAACTAGACCATGTGCAAGAGGCTATACTCTCGTTCAGTCATGAAAAACTGAATATTATGATTAGCAACTACATTGAAATTTGAGGTTGGAGATTCGAGATCTGAGAGCTGAAATTTGAGATTGGAGACGAGATCTAAGATTTGTGAAACGACTATGAATTCGGACCTCAGTCTTCTCTGTGCTACTTGATTTCACTCACTCGTTACTTGTGTGTGTATTTCTGATTAGATTCTCGATAAAAAAATGAGTAAAAATATTTAATTGTACATACATATGGAGAAATTCACTCGTGTCACTATATTATCGCATAATTACATGATTTATTGACAATATTAAAAATGAAATATTAAAAATGTATTTTAAGTTTTAGATCAAAAAGCATATTTATTCATTCAAATTTGAAAAAAGAAAATCTTGAGTAATCGTTATAGGCGTTTTCACCGGTATTCCTCAAAACTTGGCGTGTTCACTTGTTTATGACTATACCTTACTCCTATACATATAAACAAAGGTACGTAAACTATCAGCGAATTCGGAGTTCTTTCATTAAAGTCGTACTCAGTGCGCACTAGTACAGGCTACCGAATTTGCTGTATTAAAGTATTTGCAGGTGTAAACTTTATCGATCTTAATAATGGTAAAATTAATAAAATGAATTAATTAATTATAATTCTTTATGTAAATATACACTTATGGAAATAAGTAATATTTTTATGCATTTTACTTATTTCTATCATTGTAACAGATGTCTGGAAACAAGTGTCGTAACTGTGCATCTATCAACATCGAGACTGATCCAGGACGTGGAGATGCAATCTGTATGGACTGTGGTTTTGTACTGGAGGATTCTGTCATTGTATCCCAGACTAATTTTGAGGAATCATCCTCTGGTAAAGTGATGGTTCTTGGACATTTTGTTGCCAGTGATAGCACAGGTGGTGCCACAAATTTTGGTTCATGTAAGTTACTTAAATGATATGTACAGCTTTTTTGTTTTTTAACAGATACTAATAAAAATTTGTTTTTTGTTTACTTGCAGCTTATTATGCTAATGGGAGAGAATCCAGAGGAGTTACCTTACAAAATGCACGAAAAGGTATAACACATCTCTGCGTGCAGTTAGGGTGTGTAGAACTTTTGTTTTATCATATATACACTTTCAACATAGAATCTCAATTTTTTTTTGTTAAATACTTACTTATCACGAATTGAAATTGATATTTCAGCTTGAATCAAAATTGCATTGAGACAGCAATGAACTTTTATAAACTGGCTTTGAACAAGCATCTGACACGTGGGAGAAAACAGGCTCACAATCAGGCTGCCTGTGTATATATTACTTGCCGCACAGAAAGAACAGAACGTATCCTTTTCTATTGTATTATATAAACTCAAGATACACACAGAATATTCCATAATTTGCGAAAATGACAATTTTTTAAATAGAATTAGACAAACCGAAATTTATAAATTCTTAACAACTTGCATGTAGATTTGCTCATCGATATCAGCGATATTCTTCATATCTGTGTGCATGAACTTGGGCGGACATATCTGCGACTTACCCAAGCTTTAATGCTCACTCCACCATCAGTAGGTAAGCAATTTATTTACATATACAAATGCATGATATATATATACACAAATTTCTCCAAAACAGAGTAGAAACATAATTTATTTTTGCTTGTAATGCCATTATAATTGCATGGAATTATGAGATTCCGAAAATATAATTTATATTAACGGATAAATGAAACAAATAAATGAAAACATTGGAACATTAAAAAAAATTAAATAAACAGAAGCAACAGTTTGATGTACAAATAAAAAATGAGGTTTTTCTTCTTTTTAATTCAAAAAAGTATTGTACAAATGTTAAAGTTACCGATTACAGAAAAGATTATTTGCTATAAGCAACTTGTTTTTTCATAATGTCAGTTTTAACAATAATATAACTATGTATAATTACACAAATTGTGCAAAGCAGTATCAGCGTGAATCTTATTCGTTTCATAAGTGTCTTTTTCTACGTAGCGGAAGGGGAGCAATTTTAAATACTTAGTCAATGTTATGTTTAGTACAGACTTTTTCTTTATATTCATCTATTATTCCAGATATTTACAATTTTTAAACAGTTTTTTTCTACTCGATATAAAAGAAAAGTCGAGAGTTTATTGTGTATTATAGTGAACAAAGATTTGCATTCGTAATACGTATAGAAAAATAGATACATAGATTGATGATTTTTTTCTAAGATTATTTGTCGCGAACAAAATAAGAGCAGCACGTAGTAAGTCTTCGGTAATTCTCTCAGTTACACAATTAAACATTTACAAATAAATAAAATGTGACAAATCTTATACGCAATAAAAATTTCTAATTCGCGAGACAAAGATCTAGTGTTAATTATCGAATTGCACGTACTGTACATAGTTTTTTTTGTCTTCTACGAAAATATAATTTTCGAACAAGTCGTAACTATGTGTCATTAACGTATTGCGTGTACGCGTTAAAATTTGGTACTGTGCTTTGGACTGAAAGGAAGTTTTAACATTCTTTATCACATTCTCTGTGAAGTTTACAATTAATAATGATTAATAACAGAATAATTTGATGTATAAATTGTAAATTTGTACAAATGCTTAAAATGAACATATAAAAATTTAAAAGAATCATCTTTTAATTAAGTAATTAATTAGCTTATTTAACAGACAGAGTATGTATTATACAATGTGTTCAATGAACACTTTTACTGTATACGAAGAAAATTGATCGTTTCACAAAAAATGGATTAACGGTTTTTTAAATTACAAACTATCTCTACAGTAAGATTTTCTTTATGAGTAATCTCGAGGAGATAGTTGCATTTCTGGTAATATTATATGCAACTTTCTAGTTAATCCTAAGTATCATCTTTTTCAAGGTTTCGCAAAAGTACTTTTTTTATTTTGAATTTCAATATTTCCGAATGTCTGATAAATATTTAGTTTAAAATATATATGTACCCCGAATATACACCGTTCCTTTTTTATAATCTCAAAGCTTGGTAGTTCGTATTCGCAAAGAACGATCCGAATATTACGTTTCGTTGCAAACTAGTGATTAAACCATCAATTCCGCCGTGACTTTCCGTCAATCATCGGACGGTGGCCCGTAGAAAATCAATTCGGGAATCTGTCCGCCCTGAACGCCGGTACCGTTGGTACTCTCGGAACTGCACTGGAACTGGAAGTTCACGCTGCCGACAGTGGCTTCCGACATACCCTCCTGACCGAAGAAGCTCAGTTCTCCACCGTCCAATATTGCACTCGCCGTATACGAACACTCCGGTTCTATTTGTATCGGATTTTCAAAGTACACGTGAAACGTGTTACTCGAGCCGTCGGAAAAGAATTTCGTGTTGTTCTCCGCCAGGACATTACCGAGTCTCTTGAGTTCTATTTTAACGTTATAATCCGCAGCACCGGACGAGCTGCCGTATAATCCGAAACCCACTACAAATATTCTCTTATCGACGCTGAATTGGATCGAGTCGCAACGACCTCTGTATCGCCATTGATTTGATCTATACGCGCATGATTGAAATCTATGGCAAACCTGCGAGAGAGAGAGAGTAACAGATTTCTCTTTATTTATTTATAATTGATGATAGAATGATATGACGATGTATATCAGTTACAAAGATATTGCCAATACAATTGTATATACAAAACTTCGCACTATAAATTTTTCCCATACGCTACATGGGTTTTTTACCCACCTGAGTTTTCAATCCTTGGCGTGGTTTGATAGGAAAACAAAGTTGTGGCTTATTGCTGGCTGTGAAGTGCAGAAACAAGTCAATTGTCTCTTGATGCGTCAGTATTCCTGTTTGTGCCGCACTGTTTGCGAACTCTTCCAGATTCATAGCAGGAAGTCTGATCAAATACAAAGCAGATCCTAAAAACATAAGGAACATACATGCATATATACATATACACACACACACACACACATATGCGCGCGCTCGGAAGTTGTGTTTCTGTTTAATATTTTTTGTTACCTAACAATTGCCTTTGATTGGCAGGAGTTGGCTCGAGATCTTGTCGTATACATTCCGCGGAAGCCCATCGTAATGCCGCATCCCATACGTGAATTTCTTTGCAGTTTAACGTCTCTCGAGACAAGACAGATTCAAGTGTATGAATGTCAATGTCCACAAAACCGTCGGATTTTAGTGCCATTTCTGCCTGTCATACAATAGTTTTATTTAAATATCAAAACTCAATTTCACATAATATTATTATTATATATTAATAATTTCGACGACTTTTTCTCACGTGCGTTTTATTACAATCTAAAGTTTTATAAAAAACAAAAAAAAAAGAAAAACATAATCCGTGAAAGTAAGAATCACACGCGTTTGTGCATTATGCATTTTTAAATAATATTCCAACAACTATACATACACTTTTGTCTTTTTTATTGATACATATATATATACATCGATGTTTATTTTGATATTTATACAATATGTTGAAATATCTGCAATTTATTTACTGAAGTAACAAGAAAGACATGGCAATAGTAAGAAATTTATTTATTTTATACATTATTATTGTTTAAAAATTTCAATTTATACGATAATAATTATATAAAAGTTTAGAATATAGAAATAAAAAAAAACTAGAAAAGATAAAAAAAAGTGAACAAAATATATATGTATATATATATACAATTTATGCACTTTTATATTTGTATGTTAGAGGGAATCATATATTGCTAAGAAACTAATTGTGCATAAAGTATAACATTCCAACAGTCAGCTGGAAAGCACAATCAATTTTATTGAAATTATATTATCTTAATTTATATATATATATATGTATATATATATATATATAAATTATTACACTTATATACGCTACAAAATTATGCATACAAAACAATTAGAGTAAAAATATAAATATGTAATATATACAAAAAGAGCAGTCTTTTTCTTATAAAATCAAGATATATTAACATAATTATTGATGTATCATCATAATCGACATTAATCGAGTATTGCACACATTTATATTATAACTGTTGAGTTCATGATATTAAAACATTGCAAATAAATTGCGATCAATCAAAATATGAGATTCTTGTTTAACGATAATTTCATACTAACTCACATGCAAATAATGTTTTTAAAAACTTTAAATCTTGTACATATCCGTGAAAATATTTACTTTTTGTTGTTAAAAAGTTTCACGAACTCTTTGTTTAAAGGGAATTAAAGTACAGCGTGTTCTATGAGTCCGTGTACTTTCTCTCTAAACTGCCTAATACGAATACTAGAGGTCGAGATGTATTATTCAGAAGAAAGTGCGTTTCTTCAAAATATCCAACGGATATATAAATATATATTCCCGTGGTAACAAGGATTAATATAGAATTGCTTTTTGAGCACAAAGATGTTCTGTGACAAGTAACATTTTTTAAATAATATAATAGCTATAAGTTCAGCTATAAAAGAAATCGAAGCGATGCTTCTTTGTGAGCAGTTCACAATTATGTGCGTGAGAGATTTAATACAATTGTACACACAAAAACCCACTGGTTTTCATTCATTTTCACTTAACTGTTTGATTAGTACTTGTTGCTATCCTAGAAACACTGTCATTACGAACTTTACCGCACTCGTATTCGTCTATCAGACTATCCTGATACGTAATATTTTGCGTAACCTCTACCTGATCTAATTTATTGTCCGGAAAGTAAGGTTCGCTTCGCGATCGAAACAGCGAAAAAGACAGATGTTCTTCCGGGAAGACATTCGCGCAACAGTCATTTTCCGAAAGACTCAAACAGTGTGGCATTACTGACAATCCGTTCGTGAAATTTTCGCGGCTACTGTCGCTCAATCCTTCATTGCTCCTACATGCGCATCGATATCGTAAAGTGTCGAATTTACTGTTCTCAGAATACTGAGACGAATGCAAACTTGAAGCACGATCATTTATGTCGCTGGAAGGACTCGAGTCGTCTTCGATAGTGTTATCCAAATTCCTGTCATTCAAGGTAATTGCTCTTAGCATTCTTTGGGTTTGACTTACTTGTGCATCGATCACTTCCCAACAACGTTGCATAAGATTCGGCTCTTCGAACAGGCGAGACTGACTCAAGAGCAAGCATGCGTTCTTTGCAGTTAAACTCGTCTCCAGATAATTGACGCACGCGCGTGCCAGATGTGGAACTATATACTTTTTTGCAACATACAAAGTTGCAAGAACCGTATCAGCTTCTAGTTGCACTTCGTCGCAATACATATACCTTGAAGAATGTATATTGTGGTCACAAAAAATTATATGTTTTCTTCTTCTGACAGAACAATTTTGTTCTCTTTTTCTCTCTCTCTCTCTCTCTCTCTCTCACCATTGGTATTATTCTCTCTATCAATTATCTGTTGCATACTTACCTCAACAGAGCAAGAAAGGCAGCTGGTTCAACATCAGGCACTTCTATGTCTCTTTTATTTTCTGGCAATCCTCCGTAAAACATCGCATAAAATACCGAACTACCAGTAGCGAGTACATATTTATGTGCTGGTATAGTTTGCGTGTGACCTTATGCCAGATGATTTGGGATATCAGAATGTTTCTCAATGAAGTAATTTGAAAACTGTGTTAAAAGTCAACAATGTATAAATACCTGGACTTCCAACAATAAATATAATGTCAGCCATGAGATGATTATTAAACATAGCTGCGTTTCGTTCCCGGACTGTAGGCTTTGTTGCTTGCCAGTTAGGATCCTGGGTACAGTCTCCAGGTGATAGTAGATTCAACTGAGTTACTGGTGACGATAAGGAAGACAGAGGTGAAGGTGGTGCACTCAGTGGCTGATTTACTGTGGTTCCTTCACGTTGTAAGACGATAGATGATGAGAGTGGGCTCACTGATGGAGGTGAATCTGATGTATTGCTCGGAGATTCCGCTGAGATAAACAAATAAGCAAATTTCACACATAAAAATAAATGCATAAAAGTAATGCTTTTTCTTTATTGAAAATAAAATGTCCATACGTGCACGTGTGTGCGTTACACACGATTGAATTTTTCATGTGTAACTCTGAGCTTCATTCTCCTGTGTATACTAACACAGGAGGGAAAAGGTTATGTGAATTATTAAAATTAATATTTATCTCAGTATTATTTCCGACTTTTTCCGATATCTGTGTGGCTCCGAAAACTTCGTACAAATATTTCCGAGAGTATTTAAGCTTACTTGACACATTCATCTTTTCTTTGTGTAAAGATTTCGAAAAACACAAACAATCCAAACAATCTTCAATGTAAACTTGATTTGATTATCTATATACATAGGTTTTCATGGGTTTTCCATAGACATATGGAAAAGATAGGAATACTTCTGACCGTTACGATCAAATGACCGTGCACTATAGTAGGCGTTCTGTCCTGTCTTTTGCTCCCAGATAAAATGTTTTCTGGTATGCGTACATATCTCGTACTTAGGTATCTGGTTTAGAATTGTTTGATAATTTGACATCTGAATGCAGCAGTCGTAAAAGTGAAAGTAAAGAACAAATCATATAATATTCGATTAAAAGTCACAACAAAATATAGTGGTTTTGATTTTCTTTCAAGCTACAGTCATGTGACGAACAAAAATAACTGATCACGATCAATTCAGAAATCCTTGAATCAGAAGAGAAAGTCATGAATAGTCCAGTACAAACATCAAACTCTCTATTCGTACATCTCTCATTCGCACAAGCAATATTCTTCCCTCTCTCTCTTTCTCACTCTCACTCTTTCTCTCCCTCTCTTTCTCTCTCTGTATATGCGTTTTTTCTTCTATCTCTCTCACCGTTCATCCAAGCATTGGTCTGTTTGACCGCGACGTTATCTTGAAAGCGTTTCATCGGCTTGGTGGAAATCTTCGAGTAGAGGTTCGACATTGCCATCGTCGTCGCGTTTCACTCCGTCGCGTTGTAAACCTTCGTTATTGCGCGCGGTACACGAAGCGACTTCGAGAGGCCGTGCCGTCGGCTATGCGACCGCCATTTCCCAAACGGGCGCTGGCGGCTTGTTGAGAGGCGCCGTCGCCNCGTCGCCGCTGACGCCGCCGCTGCTGCCGACGGCGGCAAAGCGGTCGATAGACGTTGATAATGAAGAAAAGGAAGGCAGAGGGTAGCCACTGTGTGTTGGCTCCAACTGCCAAATGCATATTTCTGCGATATATTGGTCAATTTTTGAAAAAAAAGATTCAAAAAATAAATAATTTTTTCTTCTGGCAAAAAACGCACACAAATCATGTTTAAAAATATAGTAGATAATACTTGCACGCAAGATTGGGACTTTAATTACAGGTTTTTACACGGGTTTTTTTCATCACGTCGTTACAGTATTGAATAAACACGCTTGCTCCGAAGTAGATTTCACATTTGTCAACATTGCTCCAAAGTGTTCTTGGCGATGAAAAGACGAATTATTACGCTGACCTTTCTGATTAGTTCAGCTTCATACAATGACAAGTATTCTTGCAGGAATGACAGTTCTTCGACTTTCTCTGCAGAGAATCTATTGAGAAATGATTTCTATTTTTCGAGAGACGAAATACAAAAGCGGATGTTACTTTGCATGTAAACATGCCACTCTTTTGTATGTATGTATGTGTGTGTGTGAATTAATGTTTGGTATTCAATACCTTTAAACCATTACAAAATTTAAGATTCTCCACAAGATCACTCGTTTCTTTATTACTCGTTTTTCCAGAATCAGAATTTTTTACTTTATACGTACGTTGTTTCACGTCCGAAGCATCGCAGGTGTGACTGTCTTCAGTTCTTGATTTAACAAATAACGAGCGACCGGAGCTGAAACTTTCTTAATTCAGAGCCGTTGTCCGTGAGAGACAACGTTGTGAATATAAATAAATTCGGTTAGCGCGCAAACGTAGTTGATTTCGAACAGCGCATTATTGTATCTGATGGTCACGTGCGAGGTCTACTCTAAGATTTTACTTCTATTCTAATTTTCATGAAAAAAGTATCTGAAATAACAAAATAATCTTTTTTCGTTTTTTTATATCGCAGAAACTTTTTAATTTTGTCAATTTGTTTCATCATAAATCTTATCTTTGTTTTATACACAGATCCTTGTTTATACATTATGAGATTTGCCCACAAACTCGAGTTCGGTGATAAAACTCAGTCCGTATGTACAACAGCTCTGAGAGTTGTACAAAGAATGAAAAGAGACAGTATTCACAGTGGTCGTAGACCATCGGGCTTATGCGGAGCAGGTACGAAAACTTATTTAACTATTTTTTAATGCGATATAAAAAAAAGCCACTATAGTGCTATAAACTATTTGTACTAAAACGTCGCTTAGCGGGAAACTACTGTAGTGGCGTGTAGAGCTTAAAGAGTTAAGTAAAACCGGTCGTCGTTTCTTCTAGATGAGTTTGTATAAAAGTTTTATTGTGTAAAATATGAATCTTTTTTTTTTATACAGCTTTATTAATAGCTGCGCGATTACACGAATTCAATAGATCACCTGCTGACATTGTAAAAATTGTCAAAGTGCATGAATCAACTCTTCGCAAAAGGTAAACAATTCCCACGTGTGTTCATTTATTACCTCTACAAGTAATGTCGCAGTGATAAACGCATCATTTATCTTGTACATAGATTAATGGAGTTTGGTGACACACCGTCCAGTGCATTAACTTTAGACGAATTTATGACGGTGGATCTAGAAGAGGAACAAGATCCTCCGGCATTTAAAGCGGCTCGTAAAAAGGATAAAGAACGTTTACTAAAGGTAAACAAGTTGCTTTTCTCAAATCGCACAATATTTTCTTTTCTTGAATCGTTTTTAATTAAGCATTTTTAACTGTTGTCCGAGAAGCATTTTTAACGTTTTTTTTTTATTGGTTGTATTTTAGCTTGAAAATATAGATATGGAACTCAACGAGCTGCAAGCAGAGATTGATAGGCAATTAGAAGATTGTAAAATAAAGAAACCAAAGAAACGAAAAAATAGTAAGATATAATTTTCTTATAATATATATTTTGTTATATATAAAGTGCGATAAATAGTATTGTTTAAAAACATGTATAATTGTTGAAAATATCTTATAGCATTTTTCTTACAGATTCTTTTATAGAAAACGAAGACGCAGAAAGATTTGTTCGAGAAAGTAATCTAAGTATTATTCAACAGTATGTTGAGAACGGTATCGACGATCCCGATGACCCAATTCCAAATGCAATAGATGAAAACAATACGACGCTTATTACTGGCTTGGGTAAATGTACAATGCAATTGCATTATCTTCTGTTTTATCGATTTGTTAAACTAATTTATAATAATATAATTGTTTTTTATGAATTCCATGTACAGGTCCGGATATTGCATCGATGATACCTACAAACGATCACATCAATGAAAAAGAAAGAGACAATAATTTAGAAAACGTAATTGCTGCAATTTATTTTCAGATTTTTACAATTACCATCCATTTATATTAACATAATTATAATTGACTTTTAATATTGTTTTTTTCGTCAGGTTTGTGAAGAAATCAATATAAGTGACGATATTGATGATGAGGAATTGGACAGTTACATACTTTCGGAGAAAGAAGTTCAATCGAAATCAGCTCTTTGGAACAAAGTAAATGCAACTTATCTTGTTCAGCAAAAGGAAAAAGAAGAGAAGCGTTTAAAGGAGAAGGAAGAAGGAAAACCGGAGAAAAGAAGAAGAAGGATTTCCAAGAAAAACAGACAGCCTGCTAATACTGCGGGTAAGTTTTATTTGTTTCTCTTTACAAATTGATTTATTTATGAAGTTTTTTAATTCTTCTCTTCGTCCTTTCAGGAGAAGCAATCGAAAAGATGCTACAAGAGAAAAAGATATCGTCAAAGATCAATTACGAAGTATTAAAAAGTTTAAATGCTCAGCAACAAAACAATCAAGATTTACCTACTACAACTGAATCGGACGATGTATTAGTATTAAATAAACCGTAAGTATCATATTACATTTAGTGTCAGAATTTGCAGTTATTTTGAAGTAATATGAGTTTCAATTAGTCAGCAAATACAGACTATCATTCTAATAATTTTGTTCATAATTAGAATAACAGTCAGTTCTACGTTAAACTCTTCGGAACTTTTACCAACAAGAAAATATCGTTCTGTTAAACCAAATACTCAACAATCAAAGAAAATAGAAAAACTATCAAAGAAAAAAGAAGAAGTAGATGAAATTATTCCAGAAACGGATGAAAACGACATCATTCCAGACTTGGATGAACCTATAGAGGACACATCTGAAATAGGTGAATTTATTATTTTTTCTTCATGTTTTACTCTCCAATTTTTTACAGAAGTTTATTTTACTATAAATACTCGCAAAATAGCAGTCTTCCATCGATAAACTTTAACATCACTTTTGTATTGTGTAGTTTACAATATGGATGAAGAAGAACCTGATACTGGAGAAATGTTACTTGGAAAGATACTCGAATCTCACAACCATCAATTCAGCGACGATGGCTATGAGTACGATTAGGAACCTATTTATATTATTAAAAAAATTATGCAATTTTATATTTATTATTACAAAAAAATAATTTATAAAGCGGACTTGTTTTTTGTTTAATAATTACAATATCCCTCTCAAGCAACGGAAAAACAACGGAGCAGCATTTGGCTTACTGGTAAACAGCCAATAACGACACAGCACCTTTTTTGGGAACTTTCTTTTATCGTGATTGGCTGTGCTGTTTGTCTCTGTGCGCATTTGAATTCCTCTTACATACATACTCTAGCATGGATGTAGTATGTAATATGAAATTTAAATATATATGTTGTACAATACAATCTTTCGAAATTTATCTCCGCGCTATCTACACTTTTCTTCCAATTTCTTTTGTTCGACTTACATTGACACGAGGACACAACACTGTTTTTTAAATATTCTTCACCTTTTGATCTTTGTATAATATATTTTTCTAAATGTTCTGTTGATTTTGCATAACATAACCATATACAAAACGTGTTGGGACGCTTGCGCAGAAACATAGCCAATCGGAAGTGAGCACAAATTACCTCGTCGCGTCGTCCCTCGAAGGATTTCTTCCCCTCACCCCACGCCTCACAACGTCACGTTTCCATCGCTAATTCCTACATCCATGAAACATGCAAGCGTGACGCGGCAGTGCGCAGCTGCTAACGCGCAACACAGCGCAGCATTTGAACCTCACAGTTCGATCGGCCATATTGGCTCTTACACAACGCCCTCACACGAACGCCCGTGGGTTTACGTGAGATAAGTGAATATTTCGAGAAGCTTTGCGACGACTGGATGGTCCGCATTGTGTGCACAGTTCCATTCTACGGTGACGAACGGTAAGTTCTTTTGATATCCGCACAGCCGTGGTAGCCCGCAACGCCCAGACGATCCGACGTTTCGCAGCGGTCGCGCAACGCAACGACACGGCGGCATCTTCGTCGCTCGTGTCCTCCATATTGATGACAGCGCCGACGGTGATAATTTTCTGAAATTTTTGTCGTTAATGCCCCCTGTGTCTTGAAATCGAAAGCGCACCCGACGTTGTCTTAAAAGCTCCCCGACAGAATGCGCGACCTCGTGGGCCTCTGCCGTGTGCTGCGAGAGTCCGCGATTACGGTGCCCCCCAGGTATCCGCCCGTGCATCCACGCGCTTCTTCGACATACCGTCCTGTCTCGCATCGCTTGGCGTCACCCGTCGCGGCGCGCTCGCCTCTTTCGTTGCGCGCCTCATGGCGTCGTTCCCCCAGCGCCTCTTCTGGGAGACGACGACGCATGACGCGTGTTGCGACGCACATGTCCCCTCTAATCGTTGCACTCGCCCGAGAATCACGCGTACCGCCAATCTCGACGAACTGGCGACGCGTCGCCGTCACGGCGACGCAGCAACCAGGATGCTCGTCGTCGCCAACGAGCGAGCCCTCGTCGAAACGCGAATTTCTCGCTTCGTCGTGTAACTGTTGCGTTTATTGATCTTTTCCACTGTTTTCGGCGCATCGCCAAATTTCAATGCTTGCTTTCGAAATTCTCTCGTGTTTGCGGGCGCGTGAACGAGACAAGGGACGCGCCGGCAGAGAAGCGGCGACGATAGCATATCGACCCACAAAAATGTTTTCAGTCTCGACAACGATCACAGTCTTGCCCGACGGCACGGTTTATCTTCCGTAGGCGTGCTTATGTTTTCTCTGTGACGTTAACTTGTGGCATTTAAAGCTCCCGTAATCGCTAGTTGAAGATAAAAGGTAGACAACTCGAATAATACACATTGTTGTCTTATTTAAACATCGCAATCATTCAATGTACATGTTTTGAAACATACTGAATGATATCTGTAAACATTAAAATCAACAAAGTATACTTAACATTGCCAATTTGTATGTTTATTTTTAGAATCTTTAATGCACAAATTATACAATTTATATTTTGAAAATAACAAACTGAAGACATCCTCAAAATTTATATAATTTTAATTACTTAAAATTATTACTAAATACATCATGTACACACATGTGTGTATTACTAATACTGTTTCAGATAAACACATACAAGTGCTATAGTAGAAGTTAAATGCTTCAATCATGACCAGTAACGTTACAACTATAAAATTGGAAGATGGACAAGAATCTGTCACAGAGATACAAACGTATCTGGAAACATTTAATAAAGAAATAGAAGGGGGACAGGGAGAACAACTGCAGCATGTGCAATGTTAGTATTTTAGCTTTTTTTTTTTTTATAAATACTCCAAGTGCATCTTATTCAACTGTTTTATTGTAGTACAACAAGTGGAAGGATTATCTAGTGAAGATGGGGGGACATATTTTGTTGATCAGTCAGGTCAATATTACTATCAGGCAAATAGCAATGAGGCACCTGTGATGACACAAGTGCAAATACAAGAAGTCGAAGAGACTGATGTACAAAATGAAGGAGAGGCTACTCAGGAAGAACAGTATCAAGAGATTGAAGAGCTTGAAACTGCTGAGAGTGAAGAAAATGTAAGTGGTGCTGAAATTATAACAACGTTATTGCTTTAAATGATATAAAGATTCCTACAAATACATAAATTGCCTTTGTAGGGACAAATAGCCAACAGTGAAAATAATCAAGTTGTGATTAATTCTGGTGATGCATATCAAACTGTTACAATTGTGCCGTCTGACACAAATCCTGGAGAAGTGAGCTACGTTTTGATAGTTCAACAACCTGATTCTGAAGAGAAAGACACTAAACCAACTGAAGGTGAAACGTCGGTGACCGCAGCAGCGACTGCAACAGGAGCAGAGGGAGAAGAGGCTGAAGGAGAACAAGATCTTACTGTTTATGACTTTGAAGATAATGAAGATAATGAACCCGCGGTGGAATCTGAAACGGAAGATGATAAAACTAAAATTATCAAACTCATCCCAAAGAAATCTCAGACTGTTACACAGGCCCACATGTGCAACTATTGTAACTACACAAGTCCGAAACGTTATCTTTTGTCACGACATATGAAATCCCACTCTGAGGAAAGACCACATAAATGTAGTGTTTGTGAGAGAGGATTCAAAACTCTGGCTTCGCTTCAGAATCACGTCAACACTCATACCGGGACCAAACCTCATCATTGCAAATTTTGTGACAGTGCATTCACAACTTCTGGTACGTTATTAGCTATTTGCTTTGTTTGTTTCCAGATTAATCCATGTAGAAAAATATTGACATTGAGTTGGTAAATATTACATGTAGAATAGAAATTATTAAGATATACACGTCTGCTTGCAGGTGAACTAGTAAGACATGTTAGATACAGACATACTCATGAAAAACCGCATAAATGTCACGAATGCGATTACGCATCCGTTGAATTGTCGAAATTGAAGAGACATATTAGATGTCACACAGGCGAACGACCTTATCAGGTACATTTTATCGCGTTATTTTCATTACTGTTTATTAAGCCTGATTAATAAATAATATATATAATTTTTTTTTAATGTGTATTTCGTTTTTTTCCAGTGTCCACACTGTACATACGCAAGTCCGGATACATTTAAACTGAAACGTCATCTTCGCATTCATACTGGTGAAAAGCCGTACGAATGCGATTTTTGTCAAGCAAGGTTTACTCAATCCAATAGTTTGAAAGCTCACAAATTAATACATAATGGTAAATTCTACTTAAAAATTGTAATATACGCTATTCACATCACATTTTACATTGTTTTGAAACAATTGAATTATATGTTTTATATGTACATAAATATTGTAAATACAGAATTTATAGTGCACTATTGTATGTTGCAGTAGGCGATAAACCGGTATTCCAGTGTGAACTGTGTCCAGCTACATGTGGCAGGAAGACAGATCTCAGAATTCATGTGCAAAAGTTACATACTTCTGATAAGCCTCTAAAGTGCAAACGTTGTGGAAAAACATTCCCAGATAGGTAATTAAATAATTTTCTTAAACATAACATTTAATAGAAACTCTAAACATCTTACAAATAATTATCGAATTACCTTCGATAAAATTTTGTATAGTGTGTGTGTGTAAATTATACAAATTTTAATCAAAATTCGAAAATTTTATATACATGTATATTATTATATTACAGGTATAGCTATAAGTTGCATAGTAAAACTCACGAAGGAGAGAAGTGTTACAAGTGCGATCTGTGTCCGTACGCGTCTATATCGGCGCGTCACTTGGAGAGCCATATGCTCATCCACACCGATCAGAAACCGTATCAATGTGATCACTGCTTTCAATCATTTAGACAGAAACAGTTACTCAAACGGCATTGCAATCTTTATCACAATCCTACTTACGTGCCTCCACCGCCGCAAGAGAAAACACATCAGTGTCCTGAATGCGAAAGGGCATTTAGGTACGTATATAAATTACGTAATTTCAAACAATCGGAATGATTTTTGCAGTTTTTTTCTCGTATAATATAAGTCTTTCTGTCACACAGACATAAAGGAAATCTTATGCGACATATGGCTGTTCACGATCCAGAGTCTTCTCTGCAAGAAAAACAACAAGCGCTCAAAATCGGTAGACAGAAAAAGATCCAATTTATCGATGGACAACGAGTGGAAGTAATGACAGGTATAATTAATATGTATTTAATTAAAATTGATGAAATTTTATCGTCGTGACTTTATAGATATATTTGTTTGTTACGTGAATATAAAGTAATTTCTCTATGTCACTTGATCTCTTCGAATGTATCACTTCAAACGTGTAGTAATATGTACAGAGATCAAGTATAATGTATATAATATACAACGACTCTCTTCTTCAAACTCACAGGGACACTTACGATATGATCTGAATTGTAGATCATTGACTAATATCCGTGTGTTATGTTATGGCAACAGGTGATTTAGCTTCTAAACTTAAAGGTTATGAAGATGAAGAAGAAGAAGAAGACGAAGAAGATATTATGGCTGTACAAGGTAGCGATGGTCAACAGTATGTCGTGCTAGAAGTAATTCAGTTAGCTGACAATCAAGGAACTGAGCAGGTCAGTAAAGATAGTTTAAAAGGTCTGATTTAGTTTTTGAAGTAAATATAAATAATACGTACAAAAATTGCTATTACAACAGATGGCAGTGGTCGCCAATGAAGATGGAGAATTGATGATGCAGGATCCCTTAGGACAAGAGAATGGTATAGTAACTGGCACAACGGACGAAGTTGACGAAGTGGAAGAGGAGATAGAAATGCAAGAGTTAAAGGTGGAAAATATTACTTCATCTAAATCTTCAGCACAGAGTACACCAAGCGATTCCAAATTGCAGAAAGAAATGGAAACGTGCTTCGGTTTTGACGAAGTAGGTATTTCGAGTTTTAATAAGTTTTTTTCGGAGACAAAATAGATATATATCTATTTTGCTAAAAACCTAAAAATACAAAGAAATATGTACAAATTCGTTAAGATTCATTGCTGATACACCCTGTTTTTTCTTTTTTTTCTAGGAAGAAGAAGAAGACGGAGAAGTGGATAATAACATAAATATGTTACAGACCATTTCGTAATAAAAATCATAAGAAGAACGTACCTATACATAATAGTCCAATGTTTACTATTTTCCCAGTGTTAGTGTACGTATCTTTAAACAAGAAGTTTTTTTATTAAAAAAAAAAATAGTTGAGAACATTATATTCTGTGTACAAAAAGACTGTGAGAGTGCAGTGTATTGCTATATAATACAAAAATATCTCAAATTTAAAAGTAGCTCTAGTAAAGAAAGTGAGACAGAAAAACAAGAGGAATTATTCTTTGGAGGCTACAATGTGGCTCATGTGTATGGTACAAGAACTTCTTTTGCCATTAGTGCATTAGATGTATGTAATAATTTATGGAAGCATTGTAGTTTTGTGGTCTAGTAAAATATCCAGCACATGTGTAAAATACATTCATGATATTGTAAAATATTGGTTTACGTCATGTATGTATAATAACATATGATTTATTTTGATATATATATATACATATATATGGATATATATGCATATATGTGTATATATATATGCATGTTTATATATATAGATACACATGCGTATATATAATCACTAATAAGAAAATTTCTTATAAATAACATTACATACTTATATGTAATAAGTTTGAATATATAACAACAATAAGAAGATACATTTATTTAATACGATACCTCTTGACATAATATTTTTAAACAAATTTATTTAAAATTACAATATGTAAAAACAACTAATGATGATCGTTAAGTAAATGGGACTAACATTTATAGTTCTATTTAAAAAAAAGGAGATATATATGAGGCTGTATATAAATAAAAATGCTTTTTATCATATCTCAACATCTAAGGATCATTCTAAAGTTGTAGTATAAATGAGAAATATCAGGAAAAAGAAGTGATAACAAAATTTGATTATCTAAGAGGTATTCATATTGTCGGTTATAGCTAACTTTTTTTTTTTGTGTTTGTAGGTAGAAGTTGAAATTTCCAATGCACATTATGTCTTTTCAATATCGTGCGTAGAAGTGATAATTACATCGATTTCAACAAAAATGCGTTAATCTTACAAGAAAATTAATATATATTTTTAATTGTGATAATTTTAGAAAAAAAGAAAACATTCTAAAGGTTTTTCTCAAGATTCACTCAGTCATCTTGGATGATCTTGGATTGCCACAATTTAACTAACACGCGGCAAATTTACGAGTATATTTTCTCGCTTCTGACATCGAAGACGACTGCAGTGAATATCGAGAGAGCAAAACCTTAACAAAGAATAATCTACATATCTATCATTTGTATTCTTTGATAAAATAATTTCTGTTTTGCAAATAGCAATGAAATAATGTTGGTAAATGTACGCATGTATATTATTGTTTTTTTCTTGTAAAATAGAAAGAACACATTTATAAATTAACACATGATTCAGAAAAAAATCTATAGAATTTTGCTCTGTGCGAAAACTTTTGCGAGTCACTTTACGTCGTATATGTTAAGCAGTCCCTGATACATATATATAAAAATATATATATATATATATATACTGTTTAATTATTATCTCTCGAAGTATTTTTACTTTAAGGACGTGAGATTCAATAGTAATCGGTAATTATAGGTAATTAATAAGTTTATGTATATTTGCTTAAGGAAATAGTTCGATTATACAGGTTTTAGTATCTCAAATATATGTATGTGCTACTATTGTTTTTTGTTTTTTAGAAGCAAATAATACTACGACGAGATAATTTATGTAAATGATGAGAGACGAGGTGACATTCTTTTTATACTAAGAGCAAATCCTCATACCTTTTTCATCAGTAGAACGATTAATGGATCCTCTAATCTCTTTCGTATTCTTTATGTGTTAATAAAGCGTATGACACACATATGTCTACAGATCTTACAACTATAGTCGAACTGTATAATAACTGCTCGTATACAGTATTGCTCACGAAGTAAGTTATTTTGCTTACCTTGATAGGTCACCGACAAGGTAGGCGAACAATGAACATTGTAAAAAGTATGTACAATTTTTTTTACACACAAATTGTACAATTGTAATTTAATGATCAATTACTATATGCTGTTTCAATTTCTGCACTTTTCTTACATTGTCCCAAAGAAAATGAAGCGGTGTAAGATTTTCTCGATAATAAACATTGTGTCGTCAACACCACAGCCAATTCAATTATTCAATATTCTGCGTGTTCGCACACGTTGAATATTCATTATAAGACTGAGGGATTTATTTAGGAATAGAACGTTTTATTTTGGTGATTCAATGCGTCTACCTGAACTTTGAAACCCGATCTTTTTTCCTTTCCGATACCAATTTACTCCGTTTAGTCAACACAAATGTGCGTTTACACGCGCATATTTACCTCCTCTATTAGCGTTATTAGAAAAAGCCGCGCCCTCCAAGTGCACCCTCTTGGTCATCAACCCTAGTAGGCAGGTTTCTCGTTTACGGGGGGGAATATGCTTTAAAGCGTTAAAGCACACGACACATTGCGTGATCCACATATCCTTTGTTCGCTGTAAAAACAAATGTAATGGTTCTGCTACATCGATTTACATATTTTCGTATATTTCTCTTCTATATATCTATAATATTTGTTTGTATATTAAGTTTCGGATGTAATAAAGCTCTGTCAGTGTTTATTTTGTTTGCTTCTACATAATGCGTACGTAGTTCATAAGTTTTTGTTTGGTTTTATTTAATTATATTTTTATAGTTCATATTTACGCGTATTATTAGTGGCAAATGAGTTTGGATTAAGAAAGGTGAAATCGTCGGGACCGGTCAAAGGGTCGTAACGTTAAGAACGATTTACGGTAAACTCCTTTTCAACCCGCCAGTGAGATAATCTCTCGAGTTGTGTGCGCGACAGCAACATATATACACACGTAATACCACTGTCGACAAACAAAACGGACACAGGGACAAATGGAACACGGAATACAAACCCACGCGAATGCACTCTCTTCGCCTCCCACGGTCCTCACAGCGATCTATACGTGGCGAGCGTCGGCCACGTAGGTGATGATGTTTTGCGAATCAGCTGAAACTCTCGGTCTCGAGTGCGCTGACCCGGTCGAAAAAGGCGAAAACGTGCTGTTTGCCCGCGTTGACCTGAATATCAAATTGCATCACGCCGAAAGTAGTCTCGGTCGACGAAAAATTACATATGTAGGCATGCAAAAAAACCACATATATATCTTTACATAGTGAGAGGACACGCGCGCGTGGAAACCAGATAAAACTCTTGCGTGTCGGTGAACCCGTGCGCCGGACGCGCGCGTAATCACGCTCTTCTTGGTCCACGCGCGCAACGAATGCAGAAGCGTGCGTACGTGTGCGTGCGCGCTGCAATAAACTGTATGCGTGCACACACATATTCGAGCTTCCTTTTCACGAGGACCACCTAGGCCGGCTGACGATGATCCAACAGGATTTGACGCCGCGAGAATCTACGTGCTCGCTACAAATTGCACGTGCACGTCGCCCGTATACGTAAATTACGCACACGGCCTATCATTCCCGGAGATAGCGAGAGAGCAGATAAATGAGACACGGCCGAGCAGAGACACGAGCGAGCGGGGCCTGAGCCGTGTGTACCCGCGTCTCACACACACATACATACACGCACAAAGTCTCTCTTTCGAAATCACCTTACAAGCGTCGATCTCGCGTGACGAAGATCGCGTGTGCGCTCCCAGCCACGCACGAAGGATATTAAATGGCAATGTTTCGTCGTGTATTATGATCGACAGAGCGCCGCGAAATATGTACGTGCTACATCGCGGGGAGAGAGATTGATAGCCAGAACGGAAAACAGCGCGCGGCACATATACGAAACCCTAAACGAGACGAGTGAGTATCAAATGTCAAGTCCAGAGGAAAGGTGTTTTCTTTTAACATTGAACGAATCCATATAATGACACGCAACAACGGGTTTGATTGATCTATTTGTGTCGCGATGCTGAGTTTTCACAATCGGGTTTGCGCGTACACACACACATTCTCCCTGTCTCTTTCTACGTCTTGTTGCGAGTTTCAAATTTTTATGTACTTTTATAGAAATATTGTTCTACATTTTCAACGTAACGCGGAATGGTATATTGTTCTACTATTAGACATGCCTGTCCGCAAGAAGTTAATTGTATCCACTATTAAAGCCTGGGGAGAGAGGGATAAAAGCGAAAGTACGTGAGATAGCTGAAAGGGATATAAATATGGTGTAAAATTAGCTTCTAATTCTTCCTCCACCCTCTCCCTCTTTGTGTGTAATCACAGAAATTGGTTATAAAGTTGCCTAATACCACGTTCGCATATCTCGTTGACCCGAGTCATAAACGCGGCGGAAACACAATGCCAGAAGCAAACGAAGTTCTCACTCAATTAGACGGAGAGCGCACAAACGCGCTTTTATACTGTTATAATTTACAATTCCGAAGGTATTTCTCTCTCTTTCTTCTTTTCTGTTCTGTACGGTAGAGAGAGCCCGTTTTTCCCCCAAGAGAAATCCGCTAACTGTCACATTTCTGCGGTCTACCTAATTGCAAGTAAGAAACACTTGAAGAGAGATTCGCGCTCAGCCGATTCCAACGTCTCTTGCAACGACGATTACGAAATTAGAGATGTCCATCTCGTTGATGATTGTGCGGGCTTTTCGAATGTTTAAAAATAATACAATAAAATCGCGGGCTTTTTATTAAATCAGATTTAATCGATTGCGTCAAATTTATCTGTATAATATATATATATATATATCTGTGTGTGTGTTATTGATGTGTATTTATCAATCAAGACGTAAGATAGAGCTGAACAAAACAAAGTGTTAATAAGCGGGTACGCGCGCGATTACCGTCGATCAACGGATACGCGAGACAATGACGATGACTGCGATCCGCGGTTCTACTGTGTGTTGCTGCCGTAATTATTGCATAACGCACGTTACGCAAACTTGATACGCGGGATCGCGTCAGCTGTTGGAAACGCGTTTTCCGGGGATATTATTTAAGAACAATAATCTCTCGCTATTCTATTGATTTATACGTCTCAAAGGAAACTTATACGTTATAATATATTGTTTGAGTATCGTACTCTAGATTTTCTAGCACTAAAATTCGGATACTTTTCTCTCTCTCTCTCTCTCCTAATAACACGTACACTATGTGTTCCGATAAACATATATCACCGAATATATTGTTACACATGTCCCGAGATAATTGCTAAATATACAGACGAGGGCAGCGATGCGCGCATATGTTCCTCTTCACGCTACCATTCAAGTAAACGCCTGCATATTTTGCGTCCGTATCGGGAAGCGTGGTAGTCACGCCTATTGTCTAGCGATCTACCATTATAGATCGAACATCCGCCTCGACGAGGTAATCCGGTCTTTGTACTGTGTGAGTCGACGCTATAATTATGCTTGTGATTTCCTATTAATATAACCGCCCAGAGAGACGAGAGGACACGTAAGGACACGTGTATGCAAACTAAGGTGTTTTACTGTCGCTCCACGAAGAATGCAAAAAAAAAAAAAGAAAAGAAAACACACACATATGCTGCTTCCCAGTTCGCATTCAGGTTTCTAACGCACGTTCAGAAAACCTTCTTAGTAAAAGTCCGGTAATATTTGAATTTTTAAGATAAATTCTATTTTTTTAATTATATAATTAAATAAAAAAAAATATATATATTTTTAAGATAAGAAATTTTTTCATTATTTACTTTCACTTTGAGTTGAGGGCACGGTTTGTAACTCTCTCTCTCTCTCTTGTTTGAAAACCTATAAATTTTCTAAACGAGAAGAAGAAGCGATAGATTTGCTTTCCGCGCGAACAGCAGGAATTACGCATCGTGGCAGATGTTTCGGCGCCGTCGTTCGACCATTCAGAAACGGGGCTTGGTCGATCATTTATCTTCATAAAATTCGGACAACGCGAGCGTGCTTTTCACCAACATTTCGATCCTTATAAAGTACCGCGTGTGTACTTTACGCTCTCGGCGTCTGTTCGAGCGGAATGAATCTCGTAGCTACGGGTCAGCGTAATCGCGCACCCACGAGCAACGCCATAATCGGGTGCAAAACGTTACGTCTTTATCGCTCCGTATAGCAGTTGTGCGTGTCTCCGTGCGGGCAAACAGCAAATGCCAATTTGCAACGAGGGCGTGGCGCCATTCAGCGAGATTCGCAAGGACAGAGACGTTAAGTTTTCTCCCGTTGCACGATTTGCATCCTTCGCAAAGATCAGCGATTTATTGAACGTAAAAAAATCCTGCGACGAAATAAAATCAAAAGTTCTTGTAAGTGTATGTGTAATTTTCAACATATTTACTTCAAAAGTACTTTGACAAAACTCTAAAATATTCAATTGCACGAGATGAATAATCTTAGAGATTCGGAGATCGGAATTATCTTACCGACAAAGAAGATTGTACACAAGACATTTGATAAGATATCCATTGTTGTGTCCATATACTTAACTCGAGGCGGGCGTTTTCTTGCGCTTTTGAAAGGGATACCATCTTGAAGAGTTCTGTCTCTGTCTTTCCTCTCGCCTCGAATAGGTGCTCTACCTAATAATAATAATTTACAGTTAAAGACGATGAAATCACTTGACGTTCGTAAAAAGAAACTCGTAAAAAGAAGTACCGAGAGAGAAACGATAAAAGAAAAAACCCTTGATGATACGTCTCGCCTAATTTAGGCAGATGTGTAACGCGTGTACGAGGCTCTCGTCTCGACATGTACAGAATAAAACGCGATGCATTACAACGCACACGCGCGTGTGTGTGTGTGAGGAGAAGATCTCTCTCAAGCCCGTAACACGAACAACAATGTGAACGGTGGGCGCCCGACAAAAATTCCAAGATTTCGCGGATTTACGATCGTTTCTCTCTCGCTCAGAGAACCCTCTCCCAGGAGAGTTACGACACCTCGTATTCCCGCTTGCATTTGCATTCGGCCCGTCGCGCGCGCAACGATATGAGCGAATTTTACGCGTTACACTTCATCCGAGTTTGCCACGGCAGCGCGCCGGTGTAAAGTTACAAACCGAAACGAACGCGCGCAGAGAAAACGCGCGCAAGGTAGTACGTACGTACGCGTATGCGTACGTACCTACCTACGACCGGGGCCTAACAATTAGGATTTACCGTTCGCCTCGTTCCCGTAACGTAAATCTCTCTCCGGAGAGAGAGAGAGATGCGGGGGAAAAAGACGGCGCGGCAGGCCGTAAAATCGTCTTTATTAACCCTGTCTCTCGGGAGATAACTTTTCAGCGCATCGGAACGCCGAGGTCGCGCCGCGTCCGGTGCTAAAAAACGCCGCGCCGCCGATGGCACGAGACTCGAATAAATATACGAGTCTTCCTATTTCAGTTTGCACATTGCGAGGACGCGCACGTCCATACGTTATCGAGCTCTCCCTTTACGATTAGTCGTTCACATTTCTCCCAAGACATGAAGCACTCGTGTGGCTTTACGTATTATTGCATAAACATATCGCAAATCTACTCAGGAGAATATTTTTTCGAAATCTCCTTTACCTCGTAGTCACACCAGCGCTTTCGGAAGAAAGTGTTTGCACAAAATAATAACGAGATCATTTTCTCGACGCTTCGCACAGACCTCATTCATTTTCTCAATAGTGTTTGTTAATTATTTCGCGCGTGTAAGAAAGAATACTCCGCACATAACGGATTTCGGGGGCAAGGGGTGCCACCTTTAAACAATTTCTACGTTCGGCGCGCTCCGCCGTATTGTTGTTTCGCAGCGCGCGTTCGAAAGCGGTGGCGGCAGCGGTTCGCGAGAGCGAACGGTTGCGTGTCGCGCGTGTCAGTTATATCGCGGCAGCGGACGCCGGCAGGTGTGTGGAATGCCTCTTGACCCGTCGCTCGTGCAAAATTCGCGCCTCGTATCCTCGTTCCAGCAACGACGGAATGACAGACGATCCTTTTCGTCGGACGGACGACGGTCGGTAAGTCGAGGAGAGCGCGCGCTGCGCCGAACGCGAGTGAAGTAAATTGCGAGAGAAAACGCGTCGCGAATCGCGCGACTTTGCGCGCCTAACGCGAGAACCGCATCGGCGGCGATCTTTTTGCAAGTTGACGACGTCCCGTCGCGCATCCGTCGCGCAGTAATCACGGGGAGTATACGTCCGGAACGGACGGAATAAAAAAAAACAGATATTCTTGGGACAGAAACGTGTAAGTAACGCAATTGCCACAAACTTTGACGCGAGTCACAAATACAGTTAATCAAAAAAGAAATAATCGTGGATAGCGGGAATTGAAACGATTTAAAAACAAGCTAACAGGTTTTTTAATCGCGCCGAAGCGGAGAGCGAGAAAGTGCAAGGTGACTTGATTGCTTTTACGAGCTCGACTCGTTTTTTTCTTGTGTGTTTTGTCAAAGTACATTACTCGTCGCGCATCCGCGGCAGCGTTGCCGCGGATTATCACGTGACTTTATGAATGCTTTTCACGAAGCGGCGCGTAACGCCGGCTTTCGGTACGACCGAGACGACGGCGCGAAGCTCGCTGCGAACGAAATTCCTCGCGAGTGAAATCCGCTTGAAATTGTACTGATAGTGTCACGCGCGCGGAGTGTTTTCTGTCGTGTGGAAAAGAGCCGCGCGACGAACAACGTTGTCGACGTGTGAATTAAATCGACAGCGACGAGGCGTGACGTAAAACGAAGGTCATCATCGTGCGTAACGATGATCGTGAATCGCGCCTGATGAATTCGCGGAGTAAAGGCCGCGCGTGACAGACGAGATAAGTGACGGCGATTCGTACGGGAGTCCGATCTTTTTGTGTACACACAACGGTCGTCGTTACACACACAGCGTCGGCATCGCTAATAAGAGTCACAAATATTCACGCGCAAACTAAAAAACATAAAAGTTTCGCCGAAGTCGGTGTCCTTGTGAATCTGGTTTTGGAGTAAATTTGTCACGTTGTCATCCGCGATGCTGCGGATCTTCCTATGCGCGATCGAACGGTTCGCGAATGACGCGACGAACGATGTCGTTAAAGTCTCTACAACGTCTCAAGAGGAAGGAAGGATCCGACTTTGAAAGAAAGTAAGAGTGTCGAGAACCAACATATACCGTCATCATGGCTTACGTGCTCTGGCGGGTGTTTATGAAGAAATATTCGAAGGTGCGGCTGGGCATCAGAAATCTGCCGGTGAGTCATTATTTCTGATTAGTCCATTAACCCTTGATTACTTTGAGTTCCGAAACTTTTTCAACACATTTTACATCATCTATGAGATCTGTCGGTTGTAACATTTAGAATTTAATTTCGCGGAAAAAATAGAAAACTAGTGTAGAAAACTCACAAAACTCTGTTTTTTTTTTATCTTGTTCTGAACAACTTAAGGGATAAAACTTTTAATAAAAATGTGCGTGAATTAATTTTCTTTCTTCAACAATATTTATGCAATACGCGCTCTGCCATTAGATCTACATTGTTGATCAACGTAAGATAATCTAGTGTAGACTCCAACGACTAGGTGGCGCCAGGTTGCTTACGAATGCAGTTGCATTACTATCGTTTATATTTATAAGCTATAATGCGCTACGTGCTTTGAAAGCTTCAAAGGGTTAGGGTGTAATCCGATTCATGCCTCGGTGCATTTTAGCCGTACACAACATTATTAAGCATACATATATCGGGTATATCGGATACTGTTACTCGAAGGAGCAATATATAAAAGATGTAATTGTCACGAACTATTTATAATCGCTAACTAGATTAACGATTTTTACCATTACATTGTTTCATTTAAAAAAGAGGCAATATGAAAACCAATTCCACTAAAATAATTTTACTTTAACTCGATTTCATTTTAAAAATTGTTAACATATAAAAAAGCATGATAAATGTATATTTTATATATTGCTCTGTGTGCGCGATAATTTCCACATTAAAACTTAATAGACCTCTATATCTTGTATGCATATGTAATTATACAGAGATTTTTTAAATAATCGTTTTGTGCGAGAGATATCCTTTCTCGGAATGGCTCGTGATTCTCGGCATGTAGTCACAGACACTGTTGTCCGTTTGGTGGATCGTCGTCGGCTTCTTCTGTTTCCTTTTGCCCTGGACGTTACCGGATTATTGATGTTGATCTTCTTCCGCTTGCCCGGCGAGTGATGAAGCCGAGTCTTCTCGGTTTCTTTCCAGAACGCATTAAACTCAGGTCTGTGTAAGCGGTCCTATATTAGCTTCCTCGTTAATTATCTCGTCCGAGATAATCCACAGCTTTTCTGTTTGCAACTCGCACGTTGTATAATTATATGTTTTCGCGATAATCTTGTATAATTATTCAATTATCGCTAATCACAGAGAGCATTTGTCTTTTCTCATCACGCGCGATGTTTTGACGAGAAATTTCCGTGTTTTGATCTTTTCCGCGTTTCCGTTAATTGAAACGCATCATCGTTCGGTAGCAATCGCGTTTAATACTCGTTCTGAAGTTGATCGCCTTGATATTTTCGAGACGCGTTTGGTTCGTAGACGCGCGCCTGAAGCGCATTCTCCGGTTCTCATATTACCGTGACGAAATGTGATTTCTCTCATTATAAATTTCTTTTTTCTTCTGCAAAAAAGTACTGCAGTTCTTGCAGCTCGTTATCCACGCAACTGCGATTTCAATCAGAATGCACACGCGATGCTTACGTTATAAATAATCATAAAGCTTTACGTACTACACACATTTAAATAACGCTTCTTATAACAAAAACTTGTGCAATTATTCTATGTATCTACTTTTCGTGGCAGACTTTAGGTTTTTTTTAGCGGTCATTTATCCGTATGAGAAAAACGAAAGTGTAATGCCTTCGTCCGGTCAGATCGTTGAACACGCCACGCCGTTACTCCATTCAGGCCGCTTGAGCTCCGCGTCGCGGCGAAGGTCGAGGCGGGGGAGTTTCGATTATATTCCCCTCGTCGACGTCGACGGCAGTGGCGACGACGACGGCGAGCAGATAGGCGTCATCATCACGCATGCCCCGTATTCCCTGGCCGGCTACGCTCGTTCCGCGTCTGCTCCGCGGAATTGCCTGACGAATATTTTGACAGTACGCCGCCCTGCATCCTCCGCGCATGGAGATGCATCCCAACTGTTGTTGTCGCCGATGGCGCCGACCACCCTCGTTCCCGTTTGCCCGCGCGCGATTCCGCACGGTTCGCTGAAACCACCTCCGACAAGCCGCGAGAAAGCCGTCGCCGCCGCCGCCGCCGCTGCCGCCGCGTCGGACGCGCCGCTTGAACGGTGCGCGTTTAAACTGCGCCTCATCGCGGAATCAGGTCAGTCGATAGAGTCCGAGCAAGTGTTTGTGCGCGAGTGTTTTCTTTTCTGTTGAAATCAGAAGTGAGGGGTAACAAACAAGCGGAGGGAGAGACGGAGATTGTTCCGCGCGCGACAAAAAAGTTGGATGCAAGTGACGCTTCTCAATAAGAAGCAGCGTCTGCTGAGAAAGAGAGACAGAATTGTTGTTGACTCGCAGGGAGTTCGAATTATCAGCGGAAAAAGGTGATTTACGAATAAATACATCGTGTCGCTCGAGCGAGAGGTATGATGACTTGTATGATGCGCGCACAGACTGTTTTTCCGGTCGCGGGGTGGTCGAGAGAAATGGCAGCATGGCTCCAGTTGCGGATCTTCGCGACGTCTCGGAACAAGATGTTGACTCCTTTCTTGAACCAAGTGGGCGGATGTAGAGATGAGAAGATGTTTGAACGACCTGTCCGCAACTCGGCAAAAAAAGACGCTCGTGCTAACTCGAGTATGTGAATTTCATGGGCGTGAATGTATACCTTTTTCGGCGATATGGATTCTCTCTGCGTCGCCAGCGCAACGCCGACGCGAGCGTTCCGAAGTGTCGTGTAAATCTTCCTGAAAATTACGAAGTGATCTCACGACCCGGTTCACACGACTGTTCCGGAATCACGTTTCGTTGTTGTAGTAGTACGTGTGTGCGTCTATGTGTACGTGCGGCATCGTGTATGATGCAGTTTAACAGAATGTCGTTGTTCGCTGCGTCGCCGCGTGTCGCGCAGGATTTTTCGCAATCGACACGATTATTTTCCGGAACGCGATTGCCAGACAATCGTTTGATCGTTAATATAATTCTCATCGTAACGGTCGTGATCGCGAACGTTTTGTGATTCCCCGTGAGAAGGGCGGGGACCTTTCCTGAGGCGGTTCTGCGTACGAACCTGCTCGTGCTCCTCCTCATGGACGTGGAACCGTCCGACTGTCAGAAGCGTCTCTCGAACATGAAATCCCGTTTGGGACCTTGACGGGTACTTCTCTCCGCGAGCGAATTCCCGCGCTCTCGGTCGGTTCCGAGCCATATCCCGGTGCATGCGTTCGAAGGTGGGCGGATGCCGCTGTCCACACCAAGGACACGTATCCCCGGGCGCGCGGCCCGAGAATACGGAGAACCTCACGGAACGGCGATGCCGGGATACTGTGCCAGGAATGCAACGCCCGAGCCATTTCGTTCTGCCCTTTGCCCGTGTCGTCATTCTCGTTGTCGTCGTCGTCGTCGTCGTTTGCCACGCTGAAGAGCACAAATAAAATCTAGTTACGTCGCACGTGTGAGAATAACGTGACCGGGAGTTCAACACTCGCTTTCTTCCGCCCACGACCGTAAAGAAAAAAAACCAAATCACAAGAACAGAATTGGTGAAGATAAGGAAAGATAAACTGAATAAGATGAGTCATTTTGATTGGAAGCTGCTGCGCCGGAAAAAGGTACAGCTCGTTCCATCACATATAACAAAAACTATAATGGTATAAAGTAAAAAAAGTTATTCATTTGCAAGCGATTTTTTAAATGCGTGTAGTAGTTTTATTCATAAACAACTGCTGGTGCAAGACTTCGACGAATCACACACATAATTTGTCATGTTATCTAATAAAATTGTTACTTTCTAAAACAAAACCTTAAAATTTCACAAATGTGTTTGTTTGTTTAGAGTGTGAGATATGTATTGAAAAAAATCAAAAGAGTCGTGCGATGATTCCGTATAAGTTCTCTTTTCATCCCTTCCCTTCATCTGCTTTCTTTCGCTTACTTCCTTTACCCGCTTCCTCCCCCTCTTTCCACCATCTCCGCTCTTCCCTCTCCCTCGTCTCTACCACCACTTACTTCCTCCTCCCTCCTACTACCTCACTTCCGTTGTCCAGGTGGTGGAAGAGTGGGTATATAAAGGGGTCCTCAGTGGCCGTCAAGTCATTATTAGTTCGCTCTTCCTGATGACAATGGAGTACTTCAGGCAAATGCTGAGGTTCATCGGACTTTACGATGAAAAAAAAATTGATTTCATAACGTCATTGCCGTACGAAATAACAAATATGATTATTTCTATGCTTGACAATATGACTCTTCAAGTGGCTGGCAGTGTGTGCTACACTTGGAGAGATATCTCGAACGTCGAATTAAGACGTAGACAAATTGTCACTAAAAAGAAAAAAAAGAAATCAAACAAATATCGAGAGAGAATTAATGATCTTTCTTTGGTAAAATATGATATAGATGCTAAAGAAGTGAAAGATCAAATGCAACTTTATGCGTACCTTTCTGAATGTAGAAAGATAAGAAAGCCAAAAGATTTAAGGAAAGTACGCTTTCTGTAATACTTCTTTCTCATTCTTTCTTTCTTACTTTCTCTCTCTATTTCTTTCTTTCTTACTTTCTCTCTCTAATTCTCATTCACTCTCTTTTTCTCTTTCGCTATGACTATTAATTATTTTCTACTACTACTTTTATAATATTAAATATTTAATGTTGTAAATTAATTTTATTATATTTATATTAGTTAGTTTTATTTATTGTCAATCGTAGTTTTAGCTTATTCGTATTTATTAATTATATAATTATATTAATATTTTATAGCTATTTCTCCTATAAAAGTGTTTCTTATAACTGTCTTTTAATCAAATCTTATTTGCAAATGTTTTTGACTTATTGGCTCAAGTTTATTTAATTATTGTTGTTGTTATGTAATTAAGTAAATATTGTTTATACATATAAAAGTACATAAATTTTTTTGCTTGTTTTTTTTTATACTCTTGAAAATGTAAAAGTTCAGAAATTTCACGTTACGTATAAATTGATTTCAAATTCAATTATGTTATAAATGAAATAAATGTGGACAAACAATAATAAAGTTTGATTTGTTTTAAATTATTACCATTGCAGGTGATACCGGCAGATCGCCGGCCACCGGAAAAGGAGGAAACATGGACTACCGAGCAGCAAGATTCCTGCGCTCTCTTCGACGATACCGTGAATGCCAAAGTGAAAGAAGCGCAAGATTTCGAGAAAACGCAGACAAAACCGCCCACAGAAGTAATACCTACGGACGCGAGCGCGGACAATGTCTTGCCACGCAGCCAGGAAACCCGAAAGAGCAAGACCAAGAAAGTGAAGAGCTACCTGAGAAAGTGCAAGGGTGCGCTGTCGAAAGGCGATGAGAGCATCGCTGAGAAGAGACGTCAGGAGAACTGCACTTCGTGGTACTTAGAGGACTTTCCGACCTGTGCGAGTCATCAGGAGGATCGTGACGAGCCTCCGGAGAGATACACGGAATTCCCCGAAGAGAGACTCGAGCAGGCTGCTGAGCCCGTCGAAGATTCCGCGCGTGAAACAGAAGAGAGTTTCTTGAGAGGCGAGAATCTTGAGGAGTTTCCGAACGAAGCTCTCACTAGGTTGTTGTCGGACGAGAATCGCGATCTTAGCCGAAGCAGAACGTCTCTTTGCGAAGGCGTCAGAGATGCGAATCCGGAACAACGCGCCTCGGACGAGGAAATTCCGACGAAAGAATCGGAACAATTCCGCACGGACGAGGAAAACACACCTGTTTTTCTCAAGACGCTGGAGACAGAAGACGACATGAATCTGAACAAGTGCGACTCGAGCGATACGTTGATAGCAGAAGTACCGGAAGCAATCGAAACTCCGCTGGATCTTGATTCGGAATTAACGATCGGAGAAGAACAAAAGGAGTTTGCGGTCGATGAGGAAACAACATTAGCAGTTGCTTCATCCTGCGCGGTGAGTTTTTTCACGCCATTTAAATTGTATAAAATTAAAACTAACGATAATAAGAAAAATTAAATTTTTTTGCAATTGTTACAATATAAACTCGCGCTGAATTAATAATATTCATCGTGACGAATAAGTATACACATCGCGTTGAATCGATCTTATTCAACAGATCGCCACGCGCTATGGAATTCGCTGTATAGGCGTAATGCGCGAGATTCTTTATCGGTTGCGTCTCTCGTCGGTGACAATGCGCGCGCGAAAACATGACTCGGCGAATATATTTGATACAGAGCGTTACTTCGCCTAACGCTTATGACATCCTGATTGAAAGTTTAAGCATCTCAACTTTCTCTGCACGACCTCGTCTGGAGACATGCCCCTTGCGCCACTTGACTTATTCGCATTCATGCACATCGCATAGAACGAAAGTCACTTGTCTTATTCGCATTAATGCAGACCGCGCTTATCATCGTTAATGTATCTGTTAGAAGTTATTCACCAAAAATCCAAGTTTTTTGTGTTCTTTTAATTTATTATATTAAAAAAACCACAGATTTTCAGTAGCGACAACTTTTGTCTTTGTTAGTTCAACGTTTGCTCTTACAATTGGGGTTATTTAATTTTCAAAATGTTTAAGGGATGTAATTATTCGATCGATAACAATGTGACTCTTTAGACAAACTTCTCGTATACAAAAATCCTAAGTAACTGCCAAGTTTTGGTAGAAAAATTGAGAGAAGCGTCAACTCTAAACCGCGGGTACTTAAAGGCTTTTCTCACTGTGAACACAATTCGGCTTCACGGGTTAACTTAGGTTTGTCGTTGAGAGTACTTGTTAGGGCAGACTCCGGTGAGCCGGAAAGGTGTGTATGGGAGAGAATTGCGGGTCGTGCTCATTAATTATATCGGACGTGATCTATCTGGACCACGGTTGTGTGGTTGCGCGGTCGCTGGAAAGTCACCACGTGTACTTTAACATCGGGCGTCGTGCACCGGCGACCACGCCACTTTTGTGTCAGGGAGAGTCATTATGTATACAAAATCTCTTTCTCTAAGAACACACAATGAGAAATCTCTCAATAACACACGATACAACAATCAAACAAACTGTAAAACAAAATTTGTAATATATAATTCGTTATAATATAAATGGGAGAAGAAAGAAAATACGAAACAATTGCCATTGCACACTGAAGATCTTAAAAGAATGATTTAATAAATTTTTTATTGACGCGATTTTTATACTTGACGCGCTGTAACAACCGACGTCGGAATATTATACGCGCGATTTGACGCGCTCGAAATCGATGTTATCAATTTAGAATAATCTACGTGCGTGTAGCGGGATCTCGTTTTAGTATAGCGGGTGAGCCAGCGCGTCTCGCGGAAATGCTACGGGTGCGTGCGAGTTCATTCCACTTGTCCCGGGACAAGTGACGGCAAAGTCTCGAGGCGATGTATAGCGGAGCTGCGTGGCCGTAGTACACCAACGAGGTGGTTGCGTTTATAATACCGGCATTAGCTTTGCGCGCATTCGCTTCAACGTTCATCGTGCGCTCGCATAACGCAGTGCTCGCGACGCGCGTTGTTGTTGCATATACGCGTGCATGATGTGCGTATACGCACGCGCACATTACGGGATGGCGTAAATCTGGCCGGCCGACAGTGCCGATCGCTGTTGAAACGCTACCCGATCATCAGTCGTGAAAGTGTAGTCGCGGAAAATGATTACCTGCACGCCGCGCCGGTTGTAAGTACTTCGTTGCCCACACCCGCTTCTTTCTCTCTTTCTCTTTCTTTTCTTTTGATCAATCTCTTACTTCGTTCCTGTCTCTGTTACTGACCACTTCGTGATTTCTAAAGATTCGACGGACGCGAGGTTTGACCGAGTTTCTCCCCGAGAACTTCTTTATATATTTCGATAATTCCGCGCTATAGAGGTCGTTCAAAGTGTATCATCATATTCTCATTCAGGAATCGTTCATTGAACCGTGGCTGGCACCTCGAGATTATCCGGTGCTCCGGCCGCGCGGTGCCGCGATCGAATCGCGCGACGCCCGCCGAGCCGGGATTATTCCGCGTGACTTCCGATCGGAATATAGTTTAGCGGGCCATTCTTTTCTGCCCGGGACTTTCGCCGCGCGGCGCAGCGCGGCTTGAGAGGAGCGCAGAGAACGATGTCTTCCTTGACGATCACAGCCCGAGGCGGGGCGATAATAAGGTGTCAACGTTCGCGGACCTCGGTGCATCGCGAGGCCCGATGTGTCGGACGATTTCCGGGTTATGCTCGTGCGTACCCAAAGGGGTCCGCTCAGGCCGTTTGTAATTGCAGAATCATGCCGCAACGAACGGAGCACGAAGCGAACCGACAATCGAGCGCGAGGCGAGCTCGTTCGAGAAACACAATGAGAATCGGCCGAGATTACTTTGTACAATTTCCGAATAACGAAAAAGGTGCATAAAAAACATTCACAATAATTCCGCGACTCGAAATAATTTATGTTTGCAGATTGTTTATCATTGTATACTTATTAAAGCGAGTGTAAGAGTTTGCTCCTTCAAGTTCGTGATTCAAGGCAGATATAACTTACGGGCGATACCAACTTTTTTCCCGCACAACTCGCGCGACCACACGAAGAGAACGAAAGTCGATGAACTTTCCCGAGATGACTGCGTGCTCTCATCATTAATATTCCCCCGACTGCGGAACAGCAACACTCGATACCCACCACTTTAAACGTATACGATTACAATCCTCGCGCGCACTACGGTACCCGACTACCGTTAAATATATGTTTTACATCGTGTTTGCCTCGGCTCGAATCGAATCAAGGAGCAGCAGCGAGTGTTACGTGTTTCACATCGTGTTCAACCACCGCGCGCCGGTTAGGAGCGGCTTGGTTCGACTTTCAAGGTCGCACAGGCTTTTCTTGCTCTCGACGGCGATTTAGAGAGACGCGCGCGCGCGCGTAGCTACGAACCAATTAAATTTCGCGGTTTACCGATCCGTTTTCATAAGTATTCATGATACGCATTAAAGAGACTTTGCGGCTTACCGCGCGCGACCATTAAAATTGATTCCGCTTGGCTGACCGTGACTTTTCTTTCCCATTAGTCCAAAAGAGTCGCGAATGGAACCCATGTGAGGAGGATGTATCCGATCGATCGTGTGGACTCAAAAAAATTCCACTTTGACCAGAATTCGAGCCTGAAAAAAAATAAATTTTCTGACCCTCTTAGCTAGTACTCACTTTTTATTGATACAGACATTTCAGACATGATTCTCATCAGATATCAGCGTGAGAATGTAGTTCGTCGTCAATAGTGTCGATTATTATTAACTAATAAAGGTCTTGGCATTTCTCTTTTACACTCTCTCGCGCGGATTTAGAATAATAAGGCACCTACAATTTTAGATAGGCTGCGAACCACCAGAAGTGCAAACACTTCTATTTTAGAGGAATCTCATGACAGATATATACGGTGAGTTGCCGGTTCACCGAGGGAGAAAGAGAGATTGACTTGTAAACATTCAAACCGATTCAGCCGGATTCGAACCTGAGATCTCTTGGTTACTAGCCCCGCACGGACCAACTGAGTCACAAGTCACTTTTGTTCTATTGAGAAGCATCGCTTGTATCTCACATTTATATCAGTTTCTTGGATACCGCGAGATCAACAATGAATCGATTCGATTCATTTGTGCCGCTGTTCTAATAGATGAGAACTGTCCACGAAACGTCTGTTCGGCGGGAGAAAGTGATTTGACAGCGGACATCTCGTCGTCGTAGAGCGCGCGCGCGGTCTCGTGATAGTCGTGATACGACGATATCTCGCAAGCCCGCATTCGATCTCGAATGCGCGAACGGATCGCCGCTTCGCGTCATCGTTACGCGTCGAACGGGTCACGTTTCCGGTAATTAATGGCTCGCGTCGTCACCGAGGTCGGGGGATACTCGAACGTCCCGTCACATGAATTCTTTGTTACATACGCGCGCGTCGAAAAAAATTATCTTGTTCGTCGTGTCTCCGCGACGTAACAAAACATTGCTTGCGAGAAAATAACAATCGCTGTGAGAGCGCTCATGACCCTCGCGGGAAACCAAAGTATGCGAGAGCTTCTTGTCGCACAGCTGCGTCCGCATGGAAGTCGCGACGTGACCGACTCCCGAGCTCGATACCGCGTTACCGGCGCGGTGCATTGTGTCAACGGTGTAAGGCGTCGTCCGTGCGGCATCGAAAATTACGGGCTCGGCTCTTGCACGGGTATTAGGTAATAGCCGGTCATTATTGGCGTGACGTGAGTGTCCCCGCGGGTCGCGCCTTGCAACGTCGTTAGACGCGAAGCCGCGCGCGCGTTTCGGTCTCCTCTTCTTCTTCCTTCTTCTCGCTCGCTCGCTCGCTCGCACGCCGGTGGATCACACCCAGACTCCGCGACCCACATCCCACGCTTGGAGCACACTCCGGGGCTCCTCTTCCGCCACGAAGATGACATTTTCCACGTCGTAGCCGTTCTATACTCGCGTATATACCAGCCACGACCCCCTCGCTCTCGCACGGCCACGGCGGAGATCGTGCGCTCGCTCCGCGTGCTCGCGTGTACCGTGTATATACGTATCGGTCGGCGCGTATACTTGCCTTCACGTGTTGTGACAAATTTATGGAGCCTAGCTTCGCCGTTATGATTGAAGCCCTCGGTGGTGGAAGAAAGGCGGGTATAACGTAAGACACGCTGTTATTGCGCCGCGCGCGAGGAAAGTGGAACGCTGTATTTATCTTTCCGAGACGTAAAAGAGTCGCCGACGCGAGATGCGAGCGGATGTAGGCATCGCGAGTCTCGCAAATGCGAGCGACATTTTTCTGGAATCGCGAAACGTGCCTTCGCTAAACTGGACGAACGAAAAGAAGGGTGAATGTTGGGATAAGATGTGCCGCGGTCGGCGTGTAAATAAATTCAAAGACCAATTGCACGTTCATCGTGTACTTTCTTGTTTGTATAGCGAAGC